GACTTGGGGCAACGATCTTTATGGAGAGGAACTTGGCAATGCCTATCAAAAAAAATTTTGTTTTGAGACGGAGTCTCGCTCTGTCACCCAGGCTGGAGTGCAGTGGCGCGACCATAGCTCACTACAGCCTCAAACTTTCTGGGCTCAAGCCATCCTCCTGCCCCAGCCTCCCATGTCGCTGGGACTACAGGCATGCACCACCACACTCTGCTAATTTTTTGATTTTTTTGAAGAGACAAGGGTCTCACTATGTTGCCCAGGCTGGTCTCAAACTCCTGGCCTCAAGTGATCCTCTCATCTCAGCCATGCAAAGTGCTGGGATTACAGATATTGGCCACCACTCCCAGCTCCCTTTCAAATTTATTTTATTTTATTTATTTATTTATTTATTTATTTATTTATTTATTTTGAAATGGAGTCTCGTTGTCACCCAGGCTAGCGTGTGGTGGTGCGATCTTGGCTCACGGCAACCTCCAGCTTCCGGGTTCAATCAGTTCTCCTGCCTCAGCCTCCTGTGTAGCTGGGATCACAGGCGCCCACCACCACGTCTGGCTAATTTTTGTATTTTTAGTACAGACAAGGTTTCACCATGTTGGCCAGGCTGGTCTCAACTCCTGACCTCAAGCAATCTGCCCGCCTTGGCCTCCCAAAGTGCTGGGATTATAGGCGTGAGCCACCACACCTGGCCCCCTTTCAAAATTTTAAATGGACTTATGCTCTGACCCAGTAATTATCCTTTAGGATTTATTCTACAGGCATATTGACATGTATGCAAAATGGCACAGACACAAGGGTATTTGCTGCGCCACTCTTGGTACTATGACAAGGAAAATCCAGAGGACCGCTGGGTGAAGTTCTGGTGCATCATCTGATGAACTGTTGTCAGCTGCTACAAAACAACGTGAAGAAAGTGGGAGCAGGGCCAGGTGTGGTGGCCCACGCCCGTAATTCTAGCACTTTGGGAGGCCGAGGCAGGAGGATCGCTTCAGCCCAGGGGTTGAAGACCAGCAACCTAATGAGACTCCTGTCTCTACAAAAAAATTAAAAATTAGTAGGCCGGGTGCAGTGGCTCACACCTGTAATCCCAGCACTTTGGGAGGCTGAGGCGGGAGGATCACCTAAGGTCAGGAGTTCAAGACCAGCCTGACCAACATGGGGAAACCCCGTCTCTACTAAAAATACAAAATTAGCCAGGCATGGTAGCGCACGCCTGTAATCCCAGCTACTTGGGAGGCTGAGGCAGGAGAATCCCTTGAACTTGGGAGGCGGAGGCTGCAGCGAGACGAGATCTCACCAATGCACTCCAGCCTGGACAAAAAGAGCAAAAGTCTGTCTCAAAACAACCAAAAAAAAGACATTAAAAAATGAGCTGGGCGGGGTGGTGAGCACCTGTAATCCATGCTACTCAGGATGCTGAGGTGAGAGAGGATCACTTGTGTCCAGGAGGTGGAGGCGGCAGTAAGCGGTGGTTGCCCTACTGCACTCCAGCCTGGGCGACAGAGCAAGCCCCTGTCTTAAAAAGAAAAAAAAAGAGAGAATGCAGGAGCCCCATGCAGCTGACTGATATGGCACTTGTTCCAATATATCTCCAGCATCACTGATGCCTGTGTGCCCAGAGCACGGGTGGGTGCAGGAGAAGCGGAACGGCAGCCGCCTAGGAGAGGCCCACAAGGTCGGGCAGGACAGGCTCGCTGCTCAATGAGCTCCCTTTTCCCAAACGGTGCGCGTGAATGACCATTCAAAAAACACAGGTCGGAGTTTTGAAATCACCCCACAAATGGCACCAGTCATTGCATCAGGGCCATGGATTACGGGGGCCCTTCATCTTGTCTCGATATTCCTGGGGACAGTTTCACAGCCTCCAAGAGGGATGTCAGGGGAGGGGCAAAGGGGCTTCCGCTCACTGACGGACACCACGGTGGAAAGGCCACTCAAGCTCAGATGGTAAATCCTGTCATGGACTAAAAACCCTAAACTCCACCTGCAAGAAGGAGGGGGTGCAACATCGCCCAGGGAGGGGCAGGCGGCCCCCATGGCCGGGACACGTGTGCAGTGATGTCTCTTCCCCAGTGAGCTTGTGCTCTTGGGATTTAAAGATCTCTTTTCTTTACGGGGAAGGGAACCAGAGAGAATAATGATCTAGGGGGCTAGAGGATCAGGTGGGCATACAGCTCGAGCAAGGAAGAGGGACCCTCTACAGTCTGGCACCGACATTTCTTGAGCCAGAAGACTGGCAGGAACTGCAGTTACATCCTGGATGAGGAATCCCAGGACAGCAGGCCCTGGACCCAGGAAGATCTTTAGAGACAAGGGGTAGAGTGGAAACCCCAGGCCAATGGCCACTGAGAAGGTCTCCGAGCCAGGGGACAGCACCCTACCCCACCCACAAACACCAGGAGGAAGAGAATCGTGTGCCACCTGGTACAGGTGTGATGCCATGCCTGGCCAAAATAAACGCTCTCCAGGAATCCCAATGAGACTGAGTGGTAGCAGGGCAGGTGGCCGAGAGGACGGGGACCGGGCACAACAGAAACCCCTGACGCCACGTCACACACTGGTGGGGGTCCCTCTTCCACCAGCAGTTCCTGAGCTCCCACCATGTGCCTGACAGAAGGCAGACAGGCACGCAGGGGTGGGGCGTCTTGGATCAAGCGAGGGGCTCAAAGAATTGAAGTGAACAGCTGGAACATTCCATGAACGAGGGGACTGTCAGCAGTCGCCACTCAACACTGCGGGAGCAGGCGATGGTGCTGGCCCAGGAAAGGAGGGATCAATATGATTAGGGCTCGCTGTGGCTTTGAACCTCTATTCAGCAACAGAACAATTCCCAGCAGAAAGGCTGGGAGTGTGGTTAGGTGCCCGGGTCGGCCATGGATAGAGCCTGTCCATGCCGCCGAATGACCATCTACTAGAAAACCCGGAAACTTTTACAACACTGTCTCCACACAACAACAGAGCTGCGATTTCTTTCTTTCTTTCTTTCTTTTTTGAGACAGAGTCTGGCTCTTTCGCCCAGGCTGGAGTGCAGTGGCGTGATCTCGGCTCACTGCAGCCTCCGCCTCCCGGGTTCAAGCAACTCTCCTGTCTCAGTCTCCCGAGTAGCTGGGATTAAGGGTACACGCCACCACGCCCAGCTAATCTGTATATTTTCAGTAGAGACAGGGTTTCACCATTTTGGCCAGGCTGGTCTCAAACTCCTGACCTCAGGTGATCTGCCCGCCTCAGCCTCCCAAAGTGCTGGGATCACAGGCGTGAGCCACCTCGCCCAGCCCGGATCTGCAATTTCAAGAGCGTCTTCCCTGCCCCATGTGCCATGAACCTAGGGCTTTAGAAACGGAGGGGCCAAGGCAGGTGGGTGAGGGGGTCAGTGACGCAGAAGCAGGGGTGCAAACAGGAGACGCAGAGGGCTCAGAGATGGCTCTAGCCCAAGTTGGTTACCCCTCTGCTAAAACAGTGCAGCATACTTTTATTTTTACAGCTTATGTCTGTAAATGTCTAGAGATGCACCAAATCTTGAGACAACCTGCTGGCCACACTGACACATCAGGACATCCTGGGTCCCCGCCCTGCCGGCCCCAGCCTTTGGGAACCTACTTGGTCCAGGGGCCGGCTACTGGCCCAGTTGCCCTTACCCTGGAACTCGGCTAGGCATCTGGCGGGCCCCACCCTGCCCACCTCTAGCTTAGGGCAGACACAGGAATAACTTTTTCAAGGAGGGGGCGGTCCAAGTCTTTTATTCACAGTGGAACCCTGGCCTGGACCCGCCAGGGGTTCCTGTGGGAAGCCTCAACTGCCCTCCAGACCCCACAAGCCTTCTCTCTGCCCTGCTGTGTTGCCCTGCAGGGACCTCAGGCAGGGAGCCCCAGACCTGCTGCCTCATCGAAGCCAAGGCCCCCAGGCCCTTGCTGTTCCAGAAGCTCAGGCGAGACTCTGGTCAGGCTCTGCCCCAACCCCCACAGAGCTGCTCGATTCCTCCCTTGCTCTGAAGACTGGGCCTGTGAGACACCAACTAGGGTGCAGCAGGCCTGGCCTGCCTCTCACAGCCCCCATCTGGGAACCGGTCACCCTCCTCCCCACTCCCAGAGGTGGGCAGGAAGGGCAGTTCTCACCCCAAAACTCCCATAGCTGTCTTGCTGCCCACACACCCACACACCCGTCTAGGTTTCTCCAAGACCACCAGAAGCTCATCACCCTCCCCCCAGGTCAATCCCATTTCTTTCTTTCTTTCTTTCTTTTCTTTTCTTTTCTTTCTTTCTTTCTTTCTTTTCTTTTCTTTCTTTCTTTCTTTCTTTCTTTCTTTCTTTCTTTCTTTCTTTCTTTCTTTCCTTTCTTTCTTTCTTTCTTTCTTTCTTTCTTTCTTTCTTTCTTTCTCTTTCTCTCTCTCTCTCTCTCTCTCTCTTTCTTTCTTTCTTTCTTTCTTTCTTTCTTTCTTTTGATATGGCGTCTCACTCTGTCACCAGGCTGGAGTGCAATGGCTCGATCTCAGCTCACCACAACCTCTGCCTCTCAGGTTCAAGCAAATCTCCTGCCTCAGTCTCCGGAGTAGCTGGGATTACAGGCATGCGCCACCATGCCCGGCTAATTTTTTTTTATATCTTTAGTAGAGACGGAGTTTCACCATCTTGGTCAGGCTGGTCTTGAACTGCCGACCTCAGGTGATTCGCCTGCCTTGGCCTCTCAAAGTGCTGGGATTACAGGTGTGAGCCACCAAGCCCAGCCAACCCCATTTCTTGAGGATTCAAACGAATCCAAAGGGCAGTGGCACAGGAGGCCTGGGGTTGGTGCTGAAAGAATCCAGGCTCTGGCTTGACCTTTTAGTGATTCAGCGTCCACGCCTCTAAGACTCAAGTCCTACCTGCCCCCGGAACAGCCACAAGGCTCCAACATGTCCAGATGTGAGGCACTTGTTCACATGTGGAGCTGGACCCAGGGGTCAGATGCCAACCAAACAATAGCCCTCCAGGAGGCAGGGGCCCGGACCCCCAGGCCACAGTACTCACCAGCGCCTTCTTCTTCTGCTCGCTGCCTGTGACCACGGAGACAGAGCGGACGATGGGCTTGGTGGTGGCGGCGCTGCCAGGGCGCCGGGACACAGGCGGAGGGAGACCTGTCAGACTCAGGTCCACACCTGCCGGGCTGCGCTCCGGGGCGCTGCCGATGGCCCGGGTGCCTTTCATGGTGGACGAGGCAGGTCCTGAGCGGGGAAGCAAGAGCTGCAATGAGATGCTGTGGGTGGGGAAGCTACAGTCCCCTGCACCCACCGCCTCCAGCCCAGCCTCAGCTGGCCCAGGACACCCAGGTCCACTGGCCACCAAGCTTCCCGGGAAGGCCTGTCACAACCTATGCAGCCCTCCAGCTGGTGGAGGAACACGAGGGAGCTGTTCTGAGCCCAACGTCCAGGAGGGCCCCAGACGACGGACAGGCAGGTGGTGAAAGCAAGGCCCGTGGGTGCCTTGCAGCACCAGCAGCACCCCAGAGGGAGCCTGGGCCACAGGCCACTGTCGATGTGAGCCGGGTTCTGCCATCTACCCCACACCGTGATTCTGAGAAAGTCACTGCCCGAGCCCCAGTCTCCTCTATAAAACAGACATTTGATTTTTTTTTTTTGAAACGGAGTATCATTCTTGTTACCCAGGCTGGAGTGCAGTGGCGCAATCTCAGCTCACTGCCACCTCTGCCTCCCAGGTTCAAGTGATTCTCCTGCCTCAGCCTCCCAAGCAGCTGGGATTACAGGTGCCCACCACCACGCCTGGCTAATTTTTGTGTTTTCAGTAGAGACAGGGTTTTGCCATGTTGGACAGGCTGGTCTCGAACTCCTGACCTCAAGTCATTCACCTGCCTCGGCCTCCCAAAGTGCTGGGATTACAGGCATGAGCCACCGCGCCTGTCTCTGTAAAATACACATTTTAAAAAGGGGTTGCGTGTTGGCAGGGCACAGTGGCTCACTCCTGTAATCCCAACACTTTGGGAGGCCAAGGCGGGTGGATTGACTGAGCTCAGGAATTCAAGACCAGCCTAAGCAACATGGTGAAACTTCACCTCTACTAAAAATTTCAAAAAATTAGCTGGGCGTGGTGGCGGGCACCTATAATCCCAGCTACTCGGGAGGCTGAGGCAGGGGAATTGCTTGTAACTGGCAGGCGGAGTTTGCAGTGAGCCAAGATCATGCCACTGCACTCCAGCCTAGGCAACAGAGCGAGACTCCAAAAAAAAAAAAAAAAAAAGGTGGCAGTGGTTTTGTGAGGTCCAGACGAGATGCTGGTCTCAAGGCCTCAAGGCTGCACTGGGCGAGCACTCACTGGGTAACGTGTTATTCCAGCAGGGGACGGGTGTTCTGACGATAGAGGGGATGAGCCTGGGGATACTGGCTTCCTTACTTTGGAACTTCTCAGAGCAAACCCTGCCAGCCCCCAGCCCATCCCCAAATAGTACCTCAGCTGATCTTTCTGAACGGGTCTCAGCTCGTGCATGTGCCCCTACCAAAAACCCTGCAACAGCTTCCTAGGCACAGAGAATAAAAACCACACATCCAGCTCCTGCAAGATCTGACCCTGTATTCTCGGTGACATCATCAGCTCCCCTGCTGTGCCCCTTTGTTGTGGCTTTAGCCAACACTGCCTCCCTGGTGCTCCTCAAACTCAGCCAGCTTGGCCCCAGCCAGTCCCCTGCCTCTAGGTCTCAGGACACTCCCTCCCTGCACTCAGAGGCCTTCCCTGAGCACCCATCACTCTTCACTCCCCATCCGGCTCTGACTCCCTTCCTGTGGCTGTACACAGTTGGCTCCAGTGCAACCGCAGCACCCACAGGGGAAGGCGCTCAGTTGAACCAGTAGATGAAGGGGAGAGGCTGGCACCAGGGACCAACGTTGAGAATCACCTCCCTGCCACGGTGGCCTCCAGTGGGCCAGCAGGCACCCAACCTATCGCCCGAGGTCACCCTGGGCTTCCTTCAGCCCAGCACCCCACAGCAGGTCCCCCAAGGTCCCTTCCACGGAGAGGTGGATACCCCTACCCCCTAGAGGCTGACCCTGCCACTGACCAGGCCCAAGTCCTCAGTTATGCACTTCTGATTGTGCGGATGGAACTTAACACCCTCCTCCTGCAGGGCACTGTCCACCCTTGGCTGGACCCATGCAAGACCCTGGAGCCCAGGGCTCTGCTCTCCCAGCCCCACATGCAAACGGCTCTGGGATGGCGAACACGGCCTCTCCACGGAAACCTCCAGGCCAGAAGGGAGGCCTGGGAGGCCACTACATCCTGGATAAAACTGTGTCCCTCCCAGGACCTGAAGGGGCGGGGAGTGATGACCAGAGCCCAGACCTGGTCCCCAGGGTGGGTTGACCCTGACCCTGACCCTGACTCTGGACAGCGAGACCAGAGCCCATGCGCAGAGCAGAGCCCTCCACTTGTCCACGGGGCAACTCCCATCTCCCCAGTTCCCCTAGGGCTTAAGGCAGCTGAGCCAGAGATGCCCGGACTGGACTCCATGTTGTCCTGGGGACCGGAGGGCAGTAGAGGGAGGTGGAGGGGGTGGAGGTGGGGACCCACACCCTCAGGCACGAGCCTCTCCTCACCTGCGCGGGCCCCGGACCCCCTCACCTGTGGGCACCCTGGATCCCCCTCCCCTCACTTCTCCCGGACCGCTCCCTCAATTGCGCGGGCACCAGATCCCCCCTCACCTGTGCGTGCCCCGGATCCCCATCACTTCATCACTTGACCAGGACCTCCCACCTGCGCGGGCTCCGGACCCCCCCAACCTCCGCGCGCCCTGCAACCCCATCCCTTGCCCGGGCCCCCTCACCTGCGCGGGCTGGGGGCCAGCCGCGAAGCCGGCCTGGCGCGCGGGGCCTGCAGATTCGGCCGGCGGGGAAGGATGCGGAACCAGTCGCGCCCAAAGCTCGGGTCGGCGACCTGGCGCCCCGCCGCCCCAACACTACCCAGAGGCCCGGTGACAATGAAGCGGCGGGGGGCCGGGGTGAGCGGCGGCGGCAGCTAGCAACCAGCCTGGTACCACCTCCCCAGCCCGTCACGCTGGCCCGCCTTTCCTGCGCGCGCCGACTCCGGATTGGCCCTTCACGCTCCCGCTCAGGCCGTCCCGGGAACTCATTGGGCCGCTCGGCTGTCCTTCGCGAAGTTCAAGCGTGGGAGGAGCGGCGGATAGCTGAGGGACGCGACGGCGGCGGGCGGCCGATTGGACGCGGCTGGAAAGGGGAGGGTCATGTAGGGGGCGGGGGGCCGAGGGCGGCGGGCGGAGCTGGCCGGGGACCCAGTGGTTGTGGGCGGGGCGTGAAGTGGGGGTGTGACGGGCGAGTGGGGCGTGGCAGATGTGGGCGGGGAAAGGCAGGTGTGGGCGGGGCACGCAGGGCCTGGGAAGGAGACACCAGGGAGGGCACGGGGAGCACCCGGTCCCGGCTCCGCTCCCGACTCCCCCAGGCCGCTGCACTCCCGCGGCCCCGGGCTCCCCTGCTGTCCTAGGCCGCCCTGTCCCCACCCGCGTGCGCGCCTCCCCTCCTTACCCAGTACGACCGCGAGGGCGTGTGGGCGCCTTGCTAACCTCCCTGACCTCCTTCCCTTCGCTCTGCTTTGTTGTTTTTCTTCCTTCTCCAAAGTTTTAACGCTGCGCCCCGTGCCTAGCAGCTCTGTGACTCCCTTCCCTCCGGAAGCCCTGGGGATCCCGCCCGGGTCCTCTCCAGGGAAGCCATCCTTCCCCTAAAAGTCACAACACACTGGTCTCCCCTGCCCCCGCTTTTTAAAAAGTCCAATGCTCTATAAAATACAAAGTTTGATTGCTATACAGTAAAATCTACATTTTTGGGTGCGCAGTGGAGTTGTGTAACTTAGTTACAGAACATTCTCCCTCCGGATCCCGCACCTGCTGACCGCTGGTGGCGGCTGCTCAGTTCTCTCTGTTCTCCATCCCTAGAGGCGGCCTTTTCCAGAATGTTACACAAAAGGGATGTCACGCAGCGCGTAGCCTGTGGGTCTGGCTTCTACCACGTCCATTTTGAGATTCATGCTGGTTCCTGTTTATTGCTGAGTGTTATCCTGTAACCAGTGTCAACCACATTTGCTTATTTTATTCATCAAATGAAGGACGCAGAGATTGTTCCTGGTGCTTGGCAAGTATGAATGACGCTGCCATAAACATTCACTCATCGGCTTCTGTGTGGACACAACTTTTCATTTCTCTTGTGTAAATACCCAGCAGTGGGGTTGCTGGATCATGTGATAGTTTATAAGAAACTGCCGGCCAGGAGCGGTGGGTCACGCCTGTAATTCTAGAACCTTGCGACGCTGAGGTGGGCGGATCACCTGAGGTCAGGATTTCGAGACCAGCCTAGCCAACATGGCAAAAACCCATCTCTAGTAAAAATCCAAAAAAATTGCCCGTGCCTGGTGGCGTCCACCTGGAGTCCCAGCTACTCGGGAGGATGAGGCAGGAGAATCGCTTGAACCTGGGAGGTGGAGATTGCAGTGAGCAGAGATCACCACTGCACTCCAGCCTGAGGGACAGAGCAAGACTCTGTCTCAAAAAAAAAAAAAAAAAAAAGGAAACTGCCAAGCTATTTTTTCTTTTCTTTTCTTTTCTTTTTCGAGATGGAGTCTCACTCTGTCACCCAGGCTGGAGTGCAATGATGTGATCTTGGCTCACTGCAACCTCCGCCTCCTGGGCTCAGGCAATTCTCCTGCCTCAGCCTCCTGAGTAGCTGGGATTACAGGCACACACCACCATGCTGGGCTAATTATTGTATTTTTGGTAGAGACAGGGTTTCATCATATTGGCCAGGCTGGTCTTCTGAACTGCTGACTTCAGGTGATCCACCTGCCTTGGCCTCCCAAAGTGCTGGGATTATAGGCATGAGCCACCGCACCGACCTACTAAGCTATTTTCCAAAGAAGTTATACAGCTCTACACTCCCACCAGTGCTACAGGCGCTGCAGTTGCTCCCCATCCTCCTTGGCTCTTGGTATTGTCAGGGTTTGGTTTTATTTGTTTACTTATTTGTTTTTATTTTATTTAGTTATTTATTTTTGAGATGGAGTCTTGCTTGTTGCCCAGGCTGGAGTGCAGTGATGTGATCTTGGCTCACTGAAAGCTCTGCCTCCAGGGTTCACGCCATTCTCCTGCCTCAGCCTCCCGAGTAGCTGGGACCACGGGCGCCTGCCACCACGCCTGGCTAATTTTTTTTTTTTTTTTTTTTTAGTAGAGAAGGTGTTTCACTGTGTTAGCCAGGATGGTCTCAATCTCCTGACCTCGTGATCTGCCTGCCTCAGTGTCCCAAATTGCTGGGATTACAGGCGTGAGCCACAGTGCCCGGCCTGGTTTTATGTTTTTAAGTCATATTAATAGGTATGTAATGGGATCCAATATTTTATAAATTGCATTTCCCTGAAGACTAACGATGTTGAGAATCTATTCATGTGCTTCTGTGTCAGGTATTCATGTATCTTCTTTAGTGAAGTATCTGTTCAAATCATTTGCCTTCTTTGAAATTTGGGGTGGTTTATTTTTTACTTTTCAGTGTTCTTCAAATGGTCTTTATATGTCTTTCACGAGATGTGTGATTTGCAAATAAATTCCCCTAGTCTGTGGCTTCTTTCCATTTTCTTAACTGTGTCATTCAAAGAGAAGTTTGTTTTATTTTGTTTTGTTTTTGAGATGGAGTCTTCCTCTGTCGCCCAGGCTAGAGTACGGTGGCATGATCTTGGCTCACTGCAACCTCTGCCTCGTGGGTTCAATCTACTCTCCTGCCTCAGCCTCCCAAGTAGCGGGGACTACAGGCTTGCACCACCATGCTAATTTTTGTATTTTTAGTAGAGACAGGGTTTTGCCATGTTGGCCAGGCTGGTTTTGAACTCTTGACCTCAAGTGATCCTCGGACCTCGGCCTCCCAAAGTGCTGGGCTTACAGGCGTGAGCCACCACACCTGGCCCAAAGAGATGTTTTAAATTTAATAAAGTCCAACTTTTTATTTTATTATTTGTGCTTTTTATATCTTATATATGATGACATTGCCTAATCCAGAGACAATATTTTCTCCTCTGTTTTCCTCTAGAAGTTTTATGGTTTTAGCTTTCATATTTAGGTCTATGATTCAGTTTAAATTTTATGTAAGGTGTGAGGTATGGGCCAAAGTTTTTTTTTTTCTATTTTGCATATGGAGGCCCAGTTGTTCCAGTACCATCTGTTGAAAGGCTGCTCTTTCTTCATTAAGCCTCCATATGCAAAAAATTTTCAAAAAGAACCTTTACATGTTTGTAGCAGGGTAATTGACCATATGGTCTATTCTGAACAATGTACTTGTCCATTGATCCGTGTTTCTACCTTTTCGCCAATACCACTTGATTAGTGCGCCTTTTTTTTTTTTTTTTTTCTTTTTTGCAGAGATGGGGGTCTCACCTATTGCCCAGGCTAGTCTCAAATTCCTAGGCTCAAGCAATTCTCCCACATTTGCCTCCCAAAGTGCTGGGATTACAGATGTAAGCCACTGCACCTGGCCTATAGTAAATCTTGAAATCAGGTTTTCAGTCCTTTGTTCTTCTTTTTCCAAATTACCTTGGCTATTCCAATTCTTTTGAGTTTTCTTATAAATTTTAGTTTCAACTTGTCACTATCTAAATCTGTAGACCTGTAATTTGGGAAAAATTGACACCATAACTGATGAACATGGTATATCTCTCCACTGATTTGGATCTTCATTGATTTCTGTCATCAGTATTTTGTAGTTTTCAGCATACACATCCTACATATATCTTTCTAATTTACACCTAATTATTTCATTTTTGGAGTGCCATTACAAATGGTAGTTTTTTATGCTTTAATGTCCCATTGTTTATTGCTATTACAAAAGTGCAATTGATCTTAGTGTATTTACCCTGGAGCCTGCGTCTTTGCTAAACTCACTTCTTAGGAAGCTTGTGGTAGATTTAATGAGATTTTCTACAGTCCTGTTTTCTGTGAACAGTATTTTTATTTCTTCCTTTCTAATGTGTCTGTCTTTGTTTTTTCTTGCTTTATCGAACCGACCAGGGCTTCAGTGTAATGCTGAACAGAAATGGTTAGCGTGCACACCATGGCCTTCTTTCCAATCGCAGGGGAAAAACGTTCAGTCCTTCAGCACTGAGCACGATGTCAGCTGAGGGGTTTTGCAGAAGCCCCTTGCCATGCAAAAGATCTCTTACATTTCTAGCTTGTCAAATTTGGGAGCGTTTTGGGGTCATGAGTGAATGTTGAATTTATTTTGTTTCTTGCTTTTTCTGCATAAAATGAACATGAGGTTTTTCTTTACTATTAGTTAATACAATGGATTGAATTACACTTATTTTCATAGGTTGAAACAGCCTTGCATTCCTGAGATATATTCCACTTAAGAGCGATGTATTACACTTTTCATATATTATTGGATTCATTTTGTTGTTTTCTTGAGGAATTTTGCATCTGTATTCCCAAAGGATATTGATCTCTAGTTTTCTAGACCAAGTGTACATGGAACATCCACCAAGATAAACTATATTCTTGGCCATAAAACAAACTTTAACAAAAGTTTGAAATCCTTAACAAAAGTGTGAGGCCAGGCACCGCAGCTCATGCCTGTCATCCTGATGCTTTGGGAGGCTGAGGTGGGAGAACTGCAGGAGGCCAGGAGTTGGAGACCAGCGCGGGCAACACAGCGAGAGCCCTGTCTCTACCAAAAACACGCAAAAAACAAAAACAAAAAACCATGTGTGGTGGCTGAGGCAGGAGGATTGCTTAGGATTGCGTGAACTCGGGAGGCTGAGACTGCAGTGAGCCGTGACTGCACCACTGCACTAGGTGATAGAGCTAGAGTGCAAGGGCACAATCATGGCTCACTGCAGCCTTGACCTGTGGAGTTCAAGCAATCCTAAGCAATCCTCCTGCCTCAGCCACCTGGGTAGCGGGACCACGCCTGGCTAATTTTTTTTTTTTTTTTTAGAAATGGGGTCTTGCTATGTTGCCTAGGCTTGAAATCTTTAAACAATACAACAGAAATCATACAAAATATGCTCTCTGACTATATCAGAATTAAATAATAACATAATATGCTTTAAACCATTAGACAAAAAGGAAATCTCAAGATAAATTTAAAAATGTTTAGAGCTAAATAAAAATTTAAACGTACCAAAATTCACAGGATGCAGCCAAAGTCGTGTTCACAGGAACTATTTATAGCATTACAATGCTCACATTAGAAAATAAAGGTCACGAATAAATAATCTAAGCTTCCACCTTAAAAAACTGAAAAAATAGGCCAGGCACGGTGGCTCACGCCTGTAATCCCAGCACTTTGGGAGGCCGAGGCGGGTGGGTCATGAGGTCAGGAGATCGAGACCATCCTGGCTAACATGGTGAAACCCCATCTCTACTAAAATACAAAAAATTAACCTGGCATGGTGGTGGGCGCCTGTAATCCCTGCTACTTAGGAGGCTGAGGCAGGGGAATCACTTGAACCCGGGAGGCGGAGGTTGCAGTGAGCCGAGATTGTGCCACTGCACTCCAGCCTGGCGACAGAACGAGACTCTGTCTCAAAAAAAAAAAAAAAACAAAAAAAAAAAAACTGAGAAAATAAAAATAAGCCCAAAGCAGAAGAAAGAAAACAATAAAGAACAGAAATTAGCGAACTAGGAAACTGAAAAACAAATTAGTGAAGTAGAAAAAAATAAAACCAAAAGTTCGTTCTTTGAAGAAACTAACATTAATAAACTGCCTGACCAAGAAAAAGGGAAAACAAGTGACCCATATTAGGAATGACAGGAAGAATGTGGTAGTGTGACTACAGCCCCACAGGCATGAAATGAAGAATAAAGGAATACTACAAAAAATGGAATCACAAATTCGGCAACTGATATAAAATGGACCAATCCCCTGAAGACACAAACTGCTGAAATGAGAAATAGAGAACCCACATAGTCTCTTATTTATTTAAGAAACTGAGTTTCATAGTTTAAAACCTTGCCATTAAGGTTAACTGCAAGAATAGTGCCACTGGGGAGTTCTACCACACGTTTTAGGAATAACGCCCGTTCCTACTTTGAGGAAGGCAGTCCTCTGCGTGTGCCCCTTATTGACAGTATTTTTATTAAAATGCACATACACAAAAGAAGAAAAATAAAAGGCCCAGCTTCATGTAAACAGTAGTGTTTATTCAGAAAGCATAAACCCCAGCGCTCTCAAAAGGTTCTTCTGAGATGGTCCAGAGGCTCCAATCAGAGGCTTCGTGTACAGGAAGCAATTACAGCATGAAGGAGCAGGTGAGAGCCAGGGAAGGGCCACGTGGGGATCTGAAACTTGAAGTGGTCAAAGACCAGACGGCACAAGGGAGCCCAGACAAGACACCCTCAACCCACGTGCACCAAACCCAGCCTCAGCCCCCAGCCCACCCCGAAGGGATGGCTTACTGCTCATGACCTCCTGGGGAAGGAGGGAGCTGAGATCAAATGAAATAAAGAACCTGGTAGTTGCTTCCATATTCACACAAGAAACCTCATGTCTGAGGGCAAGACAAGCAGGGGTTGCCCCCTGGGACTCCTGAGATCAACATTTCTGAGGCCCTGCCACCTGCCTATCCCTTGTAGGAATTCAAGTCCAAATAGCCAGAGCCTCTGGCAGAGGAGATGGGGGAAACTGAGGTAGCCCTAGGGTCCTCCTCTCAGGTCAAGTTGCCTGGAGACTGCAGCAGCTACGGTTGAGGCTGCTCAGGAAGCACAGAGTCCCCCAGGCAGCAGCTGAAGCTGAAGACTCCAGCGCCAGGCCATCGGGTCAGGCGTTCAGGAACGCGAAAGCTGACGGCTCTGCGCCAGGAGGCTCTTTGACTGCTGTCCTCTGGGATGATGTTTGGGGGGCTTGGGGAGCATCAAGGCAGGACTCTCCTGCAGCAGACCCGGCCCTCACCAGGCGGGGGCAGGCCACCAGCTCCATACCAGCAAACAAGGAGTCGTGGCTCCACGCACAGTTGCTGGGGCCTCTCTTTGGGCTGTCTGTGCCCCCTAGGACCTGTTCAGGTCCCCACCCCCTGCTTTCTGCCAGTCTGGCCTTGGCCTTGCTGGGGTCTCCGCAGGCTGGAATGGGGGAGGCATCCGGGGATGGGGTGGGCACAGGGCTGGGCGGCATCCCTGATGAGGGAGCAGGGCTCCGGCATGAGACTGCGGTTGAACTCAGAGGCTGGAGGAAGAGTTGGCTCCCAGCAAGAGGCACAGCATCGGCCAGCAGGTCAGATGGGCCTGGGAGGGCGGCTGTGGGGCCAGGCTCGGCTGAGGTGCCCCGGGCAGGGGACAGCTGCCCACAGGAGGCCTCAAAGTGCCTCAGGATCTGAAAGAGGAAGGAAGGAGGAACCAGGGAGGTTCCTATGCAACCCTGGAAATTGTGGGGACCAGGGCCCGCCTCTCCCTAGGGCCTCCTCAGTCCCTCCACTCAGAGGGCAGGGCCGGTTCTGGGCAGGATGCCGGCTGCCAGGAGGGGGCTGGAGCAGTGCACCCAGTTGTCATCCCACTGAGAGCAGCTGCTGGGCTGGTGCTGGCGACAGGGGCAGGTGTCACACATACACCTCAAATCTTGTTCCTTCACTCACTACTATACCAACGGACACCCTCCCCGTCATAAGCCGCCAGGCACTGCTGGAGGGAGTGAACACACGTGGCCCGGCACATCTGGGTGTTTCCACCTGTTGGACGCAGGGTTCTTCCAGCATGCCCGTTTTAGAAACCCCACTACGAGGTTCGCCTGCAGTGGTGCAAACCCCAGGCTCACTTGTCGCTCTGACTGAAAGGTGAGCTAGATAAGGACGACTTGGGGATGGGTGACTGAGGTCCTGTGTTTCCAGCAGCCAGGGAGAAAACAGGAAAAAAGAAGCTGGGGGTGTCCACAGGCAGAGGGAGGGTGCCAGGGCCTGGTAGCAGAGAGAGGCCTCCCAGTGTGATTCCAGCAGCCTCCAGGCAGTTTGGAGTGTTCAAGTGCACAGAGATCAATGGAACCACTTCTGCCCTCCGGAGCTGAGCATGAGCTGGGCCATGGGTGGCAAACTGCATGTGCAGTCAGGGAGGGCTTCCTGGAAGAGGTGGGTGTGAGCCGAGACACAAGGGCAGGAACATTAAGGCAGAGGAGTTTGGGGGCTTCCAGGAACAGGTAGAGGCCAGTGTACCGTGAGTGCTGCGGAGTTGGGGTGGAAGGCAGGAAGGGAGTGGGGAGGTGAGGACCCTGACTCACTGCTGCTCCCTCTGCCAGCGGGACGGGGACTCGGGAGGCGGGTCCGGGAAGGGCTGACCAAGCGCCGGGCAGGGACAGGGTGGCCGTGGACTGCAGTGTATGTCCTGCTGTACCCTTGGACCCCGGTGTGTGTGTGGCACTCTGCAGCTGCCCACCTTGGTGGCCTTGTTGGTCACAGGTCCCGGGCTGCCCATGCTGAGCTCCTGCAGCCGCGGCCGGGTGCGGAGGAGGATGTGCTCCTGGGGAAGGAGGTCGGCGCTCCCCAGGGAGGCGATGGCACACAGGGCCCTCTGCGGACGAAGGGAGGGGATCAGCACCCATGGGGCAGCAGGTCCATGCCAGGGAGGCCTGTCTGGCCATCTCTCTCCCTATTCTCCCTCCTCCTCAACGACCGGAGTGCCAGGAGGCACCAGAGACAGCTCCACCAGAGCCCTGTCCCCACCGCCTTACACCCCAGCTCCCGAACACCAGAGCCATGTCCCCACCGCCTTATACCCCGGCTCCCGAACACCAGAGCCATGTCCCCACCGCCTTACACCCCAGCTCCCGAACACCAGAGCCATGTCCTCCCCAGCTCCTGGACAGACCCCAGTGAGAAGTACGTGACCTGCTGCCCCAATCGCCTTACCTTCATTCCTCTGCACGCCCCCGCAACATGCCCACGCGTGTCCACACTTTCATGTGCAAGCACACACACAGGCACATACATACACAACCACACACGTGAAGTCACGTACACACGCACACATGCACAGGCATACACACAGACACACGCACACACAGAGGCATGTGCACATGCACAGCCACACACAATGTTCACACACAGGTGCGCACATACAAGCACACACACGCACACACACACAGGAACGTCCGCACACAGGCGTGTGCACACAGTTACGCCCTCCCGCCCGCATGCGTGGCTCACCAGCTGCGTGCACTCACTGGTCCCACGCAGGTGGCAGGTCAGCAGCTGCAGCACAGCCTCACAGTTGAGCAGTCCACACCTGCACAGAGAGGACACCTGGGTGGCGAGTGCGGCCCGTCCCCTCCTCCCTTGCCCAGGGTTGGGGCTGGGGCAGAGCCGGGCGGGTCCAGGCGCACTCACGCTTTGATGAAGTGCTGTGCCTCCTCGCGGCTCAGGAAGGCGCGTGGTCCCCGAGTCACAGTCCTCACCAAGTTCAGCTCCTGCTGACAGTCACTCAGGGCCACCACCTCGACCCTGCCAGGGGGAATGGCCGGGTCAAGGGTGAGTTGGGGCCGTGCCCCCACCCCTGCCTCACCCTGGGGAGAACCTGGAGAGCAGGAGCCGCGCTGGGAGGGGGGTGGTGTGGTGGCTCCGAGACCACTCCCGCATACCCAGCAGCTCCCACTCACCTTTCTGCCAGGTCGCCCGGCTCCCGGCTGGCCCCTGAATGGCTGTCGCTGCCGGAATGACTGCCCGAGTCTGAGACCCTGCTCAGGTCACTGTTCTGGGAGGAATTCTGAGAGCTGGGGCTGCTGTCCAGCTCGTCCCAGCCCCCTCCGGCCTGCCCAGGCTGATGCCTCACGGCTGGAGGAAACAGGATGGCCGGTGAGACCCCCAGGGCTTCAGGCCAGCCCCATGCCCACCTCCCGGGGCCCTGGACCAAGGCCTTGGGGACTGAGTCCTGAGCTGAGGATGGGTGGCCACCTTGGCTCCAGCTTCAGCAAACACCAGCCCCAGTGGGCATCTGCTTCCACCTCGGGTCCCGTCCCCTCCTGCTGTGTGGGAGACCCTGGGATTTGCCTCCATGGCTGCAAAGCCCCAGCGGTGACAGGAAGGAGTGACCCAGACCCCAAGGGGAGGAGCCCTCGCCTCGATACCTCGGGGACCTGGAATAGCCCCGGGGAGTGGGTTCCCCAGGGTTGGGGGACCGTGGCTGGCTGAAGGCATCGTGGCAGGCTGGTAGGTGTCACCCCGCGGCAGGAGCCTCTGGGTACTGGGACTCTCGGGCCCGGGGCGCATGGCGCTGGCCACCACCTCTGCGGCCTTCTGGATGGTGGAGAGGAAGGCTTCGCCTGCCGAGCCTGCACCTGAGGAGAGGGAGATGGGACGGCCGCCCAGTGCGGCCCCCACCCACGTTCTCTGGGAGCGGGGTGCCCGCATGGGCTCCCTGCTCAGGCTTGGGGAGGTCGGGGTACACGCTGCAGGGAGGGAGGCCTCCAGGTGGACCCCAGGCCCTCTGGAAGCTCCCGGTGGACTCCACTTTGGCATTCCCATGCCCAGTGACCTGGACACCCAGCTCACAGCAGTTATGCCTCCATCCCTCTGCTCTGTCCTCTGGGGGTGAGGGTGTCCTAAGGGGCTTGGGCTCGGCCTTGGCTCAGGGAGGTGTGTCCAGGGCTTGGGGAGGGGCCGGCCTTTCCCGTGTGAGCTCCCTGTAGAAGGTGCCCCCACACCAAAGTGTCAGCAGGAGCCCTGGGCTGCGTGCAGGATGGTGTGACACAGCCTAACGGTGAGCGGCGAGACACCGCCCGGGGCCTGGCAGCAGGGCACAGCTGGGCCGGGGGCTGGGTCCCAGCTGCAGGCAGTGTGGCCACCTCTGGTTCTTCTGGCGCTAACGAGTAGTTGTCCACTGCCACTGCCCCAGCTTGTAACAGCTCCACACGGGACTGCCTGAGTTACTCACACTACAGCCAGGGGCACAGCCCTCAGCCCCTCTCGGAGTGGGACTCCCCCTGCCATGGGGCCCAGCCCTGACTTCTTGCTGGGCCTGGTTTCTCTCGCCTGTCGGTAAAGCAGCCCTGGCCACACTTGCCCCACCCCCACGGCAGCAGTGGGGACAGCCCCAGGAAGGGCTGAGGCCATGTAGGGGAGGGGACGGGGGGCAGCAGCTACCAGGTGGGGCAGCATGGTCCGGCCCCACTGCCCTCCTCATTCCTGTACCCTGAGATGCCGGGGCCCATGCAGGCCCTTCCCACTCACCTGTGCGGCCATGTTCCTTGCTGTAGCCAAAGCCCTGGAGGGTGCTGTGCGGCCTGGCCTGGGAGCCCATGCCTGCAGAGGGTCCTCTGTCAGCGGCAAGTCGGCCCCCACCATCGGCCCAGCCCATGGGTGGCGCAGACGCCGAGGACACTCAGGGAGGCAGAAACCGGGTGCCGGGACTGGACACAGTCCCCTCGGTCACCTACCTGTGGCAGGTGGGTTCCCCAGAGGCTGAGAGGGAGCCAGTGGCAACACGGTGTCCGAGAACAGGGTGCTCCCCAAGTCCTACACGGGGAGGCGGAGGCCCTCAGCGTCCTCATGCCAGGGCCTGCTGTACTCGCCCTGCCACTCGTATCAGCTCTGTTCTGTCCCCCGGATACTTCTCCTGAGCCACTCAGTTGGACACAGGCTCTGTGTCCACCAGCAAGGAGCAGAGGCAGGGGTCCCGGGCAGGAGAACTGCAAACCCCCCAGCTGACATCCTGGCCCCAGTCCTGCCCTCTACAGGAGGAAGGGCACCCCGCAGAGCGACACTGCTCCTGGGCTCACCTGTGCGGCCGCCCGAACCTTCTGGTACAAGCTGTTCCCGTGCAGAGGATCTGGGGGCCCCGCAAAAGCTGCAGAACATAAAAGGCAAGTGGGGGGCAGGGCTGAGCCTGGCACTGCTGCTCCCTGCAGAACATGGTGAACTGGGCCCACTCTGGGGTGGCAAGTTCCTGCCACCCGGGCCCTTCTGTCACGGCCACTGGCACGCCCTCCTCCAGGACCCCACAGAGGCCGCACCAGAGCAGACCCTCGGCTCCCCCCACCCATGCCCCACAGAGGTGAGTCTCTCCTCGGCCCCCTCACCCATGCCCCACAGAGGCGAGTCTCTCTCCACGAAACCACCTCGCCTCCCCCAGGGCTGGCAACCCCTGGTGCCTGAGCTGGTGCGCCTCCCCGCAGCCCACTCTCCCTGCCCCAGGTGCAGCAGGGACCCCTCGGAGGCTGCTGGGGCCTGGAGGGAGACACCAGCCTTCTTATCACAGCCTGAAAGCTCCGCCTGGACCCACCCATCCCCAGTCTCAGCCGCCTCGGGCTCCCCTGCCCTGAGAGTTCCTCTCACGGTGAACTGGGACTTCTGTCCTTAAATCTTCCGGCCCCAGAGCCCCCTGAGCCTGCACCTGGAGCCGAGGCATCCTTTCAGGGCTCATGCTGAGAGCTGCACCTCTGAGAAGCCCTGGAGAGCCTCAGTCACAGACGAATCCACTCGTGCCCCTTGGCTGCCTGTCTCCACCCCGGCCCTGTGATTCGCAGACGACGCCCCTGGCTGTCCCTGGGCCCAGGGTGGCAGGCGCAAGCTGAGTCAGTGGCTGGATAAACTGACCCCCTGCAGCTGCCATCTTCCCGCAGGAGCCCAGGGCACCCGCCTGCCACCTCGCGCTGGCCCTCCTCTGTGACAGAGCAGGAGCATCACCGTCTTGGACAAGGCCCTCATTCTAAAGTTCACCTTAACCAAAAACCGCCTAAATCCAAAGGGCATCAGCCTAATGGCTAAAGTCAGCACAACCATAAACTACAAATAACATCTCCAACCAGAAACACTCCAAACTCCTCCCCCACCAGAGACATGCCAGCCCGAGACAACCCTCCTCCGACCGGGAAGACGCCAGCTTTGAGAAAACCCGCCTCCGGGCTGGAAAGATGTCCCAAGATAACCTCCCGTCCTTCCACCCCTGCCACGAACTTCTCCACACACATACACATTCCGAGCTCCTGACGAGCCCTCACTCTAAAACCAATACACGCTTAGTCTGTAAGAGAAAGGGCTTCTGACCACAATCGGCTGGGGGCGCCTCTCAGGTTTTAACTAAAGAAAACCTGTCTTGGGCCGGGCGCGGTGGCTCACGCTTGTAATCCCAGCACTTTGGGAGGCCGAGGCGGGCGGATCACGAGGTCAGGAGATCGAGACCATCCTGGCGAACACGGTGAAACCCCGTCTCTACTAAAAATACAAAAAATTAGCCGGGCGAGGTGGCGGGCGCCTGTAGTCCCAGCTACTCGGGAGGCTGAGGCAGGAGAATGGCGTAAACCCGGGAGGCGGAGCTTGCAGTGAGCTGAGATCCGGCCACTGCACTCCAGCCTGGGCGACAGAGCGAGACTCCGTCTCAAAAAAAAAAAAAAAAAAAAAAAAAAACACAGAAAACCTGTCTTTAACTGCCAGCTGTGTTTTGTGTTTCCTTCCTCTTTCTGATGCTCTGCGTGCGTGGGGTGGGCCATCCTCGCTGCACACCCGCCGCCTGGCGGGGGATACCCCGTCTCCCACGTGCAGCACCTGGCACCTGCCTTCCTCACGGGGCCTGTCGTGACACCTCCCACAGCCTGTGCGTCACCCAGGGCCAGTGCCCAGGCACGGCAGGCGACAGCCATCATCCACAACTGCCTCTGCACAGGAGAGACTCTAGTGCCAACAAGAACCCAGGGTCTGAAGAACAGCCTTTCCCATCCTCGGGGCCTGCCGTGCCCCATCCCCCCACCTGCTGCAGCCCCCACCCCAGGGCATGTCCCCGAGACCACTGAAGCCACAACGTACATGCACCAACCACAGCCACGGGAGTGGCCTGGGAGCCCGGGGCCCTCTGACCCGCTGAATGGTGAGGATAAATGGCTGGTACTGCCTTGGCCCCAAAGCTGTGAGGAGCTCTATTAGGATGGCGAGAGCACCCTCACACAGCCGTTCCTTTAGGGGCATCTACCGCCTAAGTCATGTGTCACAACTGTCGATGGTGGCCCAGGGCACTGGCCCCTGAGGGACACCTAGAGCTGCATGCCCATTTGTCACAAAGTGGGGCAACACCGGTTCGACGCCGGTTTTGGGGTGAGCCCAGTGGATGGACACGCTCAGGGTCTCCATAAGCAAGCAGCGGCACGACAGAGACTCAGCCTCCCTCCCCAGAATTCCCCTCTCAGGGGCTGGGCTGGGTCCAGACATGGTGTGCCCAGTGATCACCTGGAGCCCCATGGAAGATCTCAGGCCAAGCCCCCACAAGTCCTCATTAGGCAGAGGCACACGGGACTGCCCCCCAGCCTGCGGGACGGCTCCCCCAGCCCCACCTGCTGCCTGGACAGACCGACTGGCCAGGGCCCCGCCTCTCCTGCCTCCCAGTCCCGCCCTCCCATGGCTTCCCTCTGTCTTGGGCTCTGAGGAGCAGCCCTAGAACAAGAACCCACAGCCTGAGGAAGACGTGTGAACAGGCACTGAGTCTGCTATGTGTGGGCACTGGGATGGAGGGGAAGACCCGCGGGGCACACAGAGAAACACAAACAATGGCACCCGGGGCAGCAAGCACAGGGACAGACGCAGCTGAAGGCCCAGGGACACACGGGAGGCACGGAGGACCCAGCGGAGGCAGGGGCAGGGCACGTCAGGGGAGGCCGAGTCGGCCAGCTGCGGGGAGGGTGGGCAGCAGGTGGAGAGGCCAGGGATGGGCCAGGATCAGCAACTCGGGGCTTTGATGGGGACCAGGCCCAGGTGAGGGCTCTGGCTGAAGTCTTCCTTCTCAAGCCCGGAGGATTTGCCACCCTCCCGCATTGTCCAAAGCCCCTGTACCTGCAGCTTCCTGGATGAAGGCAGAGTTGCGTTTGAGGATGAGCAGGAAGGAGGAGGAGCCATGGCTGCACAGATAGAGCAGGATCTTCAGCACCTGGGGAGTGGGGCGGTCAGCAGTGCTGGCCGGGCTGAACACAGGACACCCAGGGCAGGGCCCAGGGCACCCAAAGGGCACAGAGCTGCTTGCCACCCTGGGCCGCTCATCTGCTCCTCTGGCCTCACCACCATGGGCCAGGCCTTGGGCCTGACCCTTGACCACCCAGGGGCTCACCTTGAGCTTCCCGTGGCCAGAGCTGCTGTGTAGGCGGCTCAGGAGGTACTCCAGCAGGCACTGGCTGCTGCCCGGAGACTCGTGGGAGATTTCTGTGGCACGCTCGGGTTAGGGAACGGCAAGATGGTGAAGGCTGCACCGGGCCACAGTGAGACCAGGCCCTGGGACCTCTCAGTCCATGCTCCCTGGAGGTGCCTACTGCAGGCTCTGCCGTCAGGAGCACAGGGCTTCTCAGGTCTCCTGTGCCATCAGTACTGCAGCCTTCAGACCCCACCCATGGCTGCTTACAATGATAAAGGAGCTGCGGATCCCCCTAGGGACAGCAGAATCCCCGGGAACCCTTCGCACCGCTCTGGGCCCTGCCATCTGTTCTTTCCCCCACACGGTACGTCGAGGAAGGATACTAGCAATCTCTTCAAACAGGTAGCCCGGACATGGGACATCATCATCCGATGTCCCCTTCAGAAGAATCGGGAGCTGAAAGGGAACAAGAGCCCCGCTGTGATGAGGTGCCACCTCCCACAGGGGTGGATCCACACCCCTCCAAAGGGGATGGAAACGGCCCACCTCTCGCTGTTGACATGGCCGGAGAGAGGCCTGGGAAGGGGTGAGAACTGTGCTACTGGCCACAGGGAGGCTGCAGCAGGGTCCTCTCTCAACAGTCAGGGATGAACAGCCTTGGAGAAGAGGCAAATCAGTGGTGGTTCTCCACGGAGGAGCTGTGCCACTTGGGTTACGATGGGACACAGCCCCCAGCCTCCCTGCACTTACCAGCACGTAAGGCCATTTGAAAGTACCTCTCCTGTACCTACCTACTGACTAGCAAAGCCAAACAAGGCCCAGGCAAGCCCTTTTCCACGCAGGGGACTATGAATAGTTCCACCTCCCAAGAGCCCGGATTGGCAGAGTGACAGCCGCTCAGCCTGACCGGCTCCATCGCTCCCCAAGAACCCACCGATGTCATGTGTTTTATGTTCACTAACAGCAGATGTACTTATTTGTTTCATGCTTACTTACTGGCACAAAGATGTACGGTTTATAGGGATGAAAACTGGAACCACCCATTTTTGCATTATTCAGTTTCAGGACAGAACAGAGTTCAAGAGTATTTAAGACAACAAGCATGGGACCGACCACGTGTGGTGCTGAAGCCTTTCAGTTGGAAGGGCGGAGATCTAGTGACAACACACGCAAACGTGGACCTGAAGTGTTTCCCGAGGCTGTGGACACACATCACTGGCACTATTTGCCCACCAAGCCCTAAGGGGAGCTAGACAGGTTTGCAGGTGACAGCTGACAACTGCAGAACGCAGCACACAACGACTCTGTCCAAACCTTGCACTGAGAGCCTTGACCAACCCTAGCGTGGCTTTTGGCAGCTCAAGGCCGCGCCCTGGGCCCACCCAGCCCCCTCTGAGGTCCCCCCCAGGAAAGCTGAGGGCTGACAAAAGAGGGCAGTTTGCTCAGGACGACACCTGGGAACTGGCCCGGCCTCTCCTTCTCAGAGGGTTTACTAAGAGGGGCTTACAACGGTGTGTCCTTCCCTGTCCCTTCGAAATGTCTGTGTTCTCTGCAACCCAGGGGTGCCTCTCTAGGACCGGAGTCCTCTGAAATGCCACCGTCAGGGAGGACGGCGGGCCGCCAGCCCACCTGGGCGCCGGCAGCACGGACACAGCGGCTCCACGTCCACTGGGTCCGCCGCTCCTTCCCTCCTGTCGGAGCCCACTGAATGCTGGCCGAGGCCTGTTCGTTCCCCCAGGGTCTGGCTGTGCCCATCGCCCTTGCGCTCGGTGGGTCCGGCTTGGGAGGCCCCGGGACGGCGCGGCGGGCGGGCAGCTCAGCGGCGTCCGCGCGGGCGAAGGGGCCAGGAGCAGCTACCCGGCGCGCAGACGCAAGGTCAACGGCTCAAGCCCGGGGCGAGTCCGGGGAACGCGGCGCTCGAGAGAAGCCGTGGGGCCGGGGCCCGGGCGGACCGCCCTCACTCACCCGGTGTAGAAAGCTCAGGCGGTCCCGTAGCGGCGGCGCGGCAGCCATGATCCAACCCCCTCCCGGTCTGCCCCGCTTCCGCCAGGCCCGGGCTTTCCAATCACTGCGCGGGTCTGGCTCCGCCGGCCAATCCCTCGCGGTGGGGCGGGCCCTGAGGTTGGCTTCGTAAACAATTTGAGCCTAGGCCAATCCGAAGTCCCAGGGCACAGACAGACTAGGACAAGAGCCAATTGCAGGGGCTCTGGCCGATTAAGAAGCTCAGGAAAGGTTATGGGCGGAAGCGCCGACCTATCAGGCTGTTTGACACCGGAAGAGGATGGACCTAAGATGACGGCGCCCAGGGGCGCTGGGAATAGCCACTCATGTCTGTGAACGGAGCTGTGTGGGGTCGCGTGCGAAGCCGCCTCCGCGCCTTCCCCGAGCGGCTGGCCGCCTGCGGGGCCGAGGTGAGGAGCCGCGGGCAGGCCAGTGCTGCTGGACAGGAGGAGCAGCGCGGGGAGGTGACTGGGAGCGAGGGCGGTGACGGGATCAAGGGACCCCATGACCCGCGCCCATCCCCTCCGCAGGCCGCGGCGTACGGCAGGTGCGTGCAGGCCTCCACGGCCCCAGGCGGCCGCCTGAGCAAGGACCTCTGCGTGCGGGAGTTCGAGGCCCTGCGGAGCTGCTTCGCCGCCGCGGTAGGTGGGCGCGGGCCCCTCCTAGCCCTTCCCCTCCAAGATGCAGGGGGCCCCAGCTTTCCTTTGCTTTCCCGTTGGTTCAAGGTTTGAGCGCCTGCCGCGTGCTTTAGACGCCGGCTGACCAAACCACCGAGCCACCGATGAGCCCGCGAAACCTCGGCCGTCCCAGGCTTGTCCCTGCGTGTTTGTAAACCGGGACTGGCACCAACGTCAGAAAGGATGGGAAATGTGTGCACTAAAGCGCCTGGTAAAACGCGTAAGCTTTCGTGTTAGCACTGCCGCCGAGGGGTGTCAGGCCAGGATCGACCCAACACAGGACTCCCAGAAAGTGCCCAGCACCTTCCGGGTCTTCATCTCCCCTCACTTGCAGCCCGCCCCGTACAGCTGCAGTGGTGGATTCCTTCAGCACCTGTCCTGCCGGGCACCCCCAGCCACCCTCACAACTGGCACGATAGGGCTTCTTGCCCGTGGGGGCTTTAAGTTATTCTGAGGCTGGTTCCCTAAGTGTCAGCCTCTCTGGGTACCACCTCAGTGTATCTGGGGTAGGCCGTGACGCCAGTGCTGACTCTTGTTTACTGGGAGCTATTAATCCGGAGATTTGGACCAGAGAAAGGGTAGTTGAACAAGAGCTCCATACCCGGCCCTAGGAGCCTTGGATCCAGGGGTGGGTGACTCATCAGAAGTTGCACTTTTTGCCGGGTATGGTGGCGCATGCCTGTAATCCTACCACTTTGGGAGGCTGAGGTGGGTGAATTGCTTCAGCCTAGAAGTTTGAGACCAGCCTGGGCAACATACGGAGACCCCGTCTCTACAAAAAAAAAAAAAAAAAAATTAGCGGGGCCTGGTGATGTAGTCCCAGCTACTTGGGAGGCTGAGGTGGAAGATCACTTGAACCTGGGAGGTGGAGGTTGTAGTGAGCCGAGATTGCGCCACCGTACTCCAGCCTGGGCGACAAAGTGAGACTGCATCTCAAAAAAAAAAAAAAAAAACTTGGGGGGCTCCTGCTTTCCCTTTATGAGAGCTTGGGTCCCAGTGTGGCATCTGGTGGGGGCTCAGAGGAGGGTGCAGCAGTGAGTTCCATGACAGTGTCATGAGGCCCTTGTCCCATGGACAAGTGACCCAGAGAACTGGCCCATGGGGCCCAGGCTCCAACCAGTCGAGCCCCCACCACATGCCGGCACCACGTTCTCTGTAAGGTATTTGTGTAGAACACGACATTTAGTGTGGTAGCTTTCTTTTGAGCCATATCTAACTTGGAAGCAAGCCATTCAGACAAAACACTTTATCTTGCAGGCCAAGAAGACGCTGGAGCGAGGCTGTTAGGAGGGACTCTGAGCTTCACACCTGTCTGCTGCTGTGGGTGCGGTGCCCTCGTCCTGATGGCCCCTGGTGGCACACATTGAATGCCTAGGGCAGAAAGGAAGTGGGAATGGCGAAGATGTGACGTTCCTGGGTGTTAGATCCTGTGTTTCTTCTTCTTAACAAGTTGAGGCGTGGGTAGAGCAGGAATTGGTTTTCCAGTGTTGTGTCTGTAAATCTGAGTTAGAATAAGATGTAATGGAAGCCACGATAAAGACTCCGTCAAGTCCTGCAGCCTGGGGCTTACTGTGTGCAGACTGTGACGTGTGGGTCTTGGCCTCTCCGAGGTGGAATGGGGCCCAAAGCCTTTTCCTCAAAACTGGAAGGGCTGGGACTTGGGGACACCCTGCCTCAAGGTCCCCATTTTAAAACATTCTCACTAAGGTATTTAATGTGAATCTGGTGAAGCCTGCAGTTCTCGCTATGGGTACACAGCACACACCAAAGACAAGGACGACAGCATCACGAGGGGACATTCCATGGGGCAGGGTCCCCACAGGTGGCTTTCCTGGACACGGGGCAGGGCGGGGGCTCTTCACAAAAGGGCCTGAGTCTCCGAGAGGGGCCTGTGTAGAGCACCAGCAGCCACTGCCCCTCCTGTGTGGGGTTGGTTGCCCCCCTCAGCAGCCCAGGTACTTCACTGATGGCACCTGCCCTCTCGTTCCCCCTCCCTGTCACATCACGTGACCTAAAACTAAGGTGAGAAGGGTCACATCCTGATGCTGCCCGGGCACTTGTTGACCTTGAGACCTGGGAGTCCGTGGGGCCTGAGCGCCACCTGCAGGGCGTGGCGGGGACTGCGCAGGCTGTGGAGGTCGCACTGTCATGGGGCTGCAGCCTGCACCTGCCCCCAGGCCCGTGCTAGCAGCTGACCCCATGGGCCTCTGAGGTCTGTTCCTCCATGTTTCCTCCTACAGATGCTACCCCAGAATTAGCCTGGCTTCCCCTAAGGGTCAAATGCCCTGCGGTCTGATCATGGTGGTGGGTCTGCAGGAGCCAGGCCAGAATGCTGGATTTTGTCCCAAGGGCCAGGATAGTGTCACATCTTGGGAACCACAGAAATCCAGACCAGACTGCTGGGGTGAAGCCACCACAGCCCATCCATGCACAGGCCAGAGAGTCACGTCCTGTGCTGGCATGACCCACCCGACCCGCCTCCCCAGCGTGCACGGCCGGCTGCCCCCACCCTGCCTTCCTCCTCACGTGTGCCCAGCACTCATCTGTGAGCGAGCCTCACTGCACAAACGTCCTTTTCTTAGCCCTGTCACGCCCCCTTCTCCTTTCTCTGGCAATTCATTGGCAGAGCTTCCTGCATCTTCTCCCTCCAAATCCAGCCTCCTGTCCCGCCCACAGACCTGTCTTCCCAGCACTCCCGCTTGCTGTCCTTCACCCCGTGTGTGAGGTGGTGACAGACCTGCCAGACTTTCTGTGGCCCAGCGTGGCCCACACCTCCAAACTCAGCTCTCAGACCTCCTGGAGACACTGTCTTTTCTGCCACTCCAAATTTCCTTTTTCCTTCCAAACCTTCCTGCACTTTTGCTCTGCCCTTCCTCCCTGAGTGACTGGATCTCAGCACCACATCGATTGACAGCTCAGGAAGCTGGGGTAGGGAGTGGGGAGGGGCGGGGAGCAGGCGAAGGGAAGGGGGAGGGGCTCTGCCGTTTCCGCACCGCAGGGACAGTGCAGAGCTCTAACTACTTCAGGTGCACTTGGGCCGTCCTGCTGCCCTAACAAAGCCCTGAGACTGGGTGATTTACAAAGAACAGCCTGATTTCTCACAGCTCTGCAGGCTGCAAAGCCCGAGATCCAGGCACTGGTACTGGTGTCTGGGGAGGGCCTTTGTGCCACGTCCTCATGCTGGAGAAGGCGGAGGGGCAAGACAGCAAATGACCTGCATGCTGCGTGCAGCCTCTTTTATAAGGCTTTTTGGTTTTGGGGTTTTTTTGAGACGGAGTCTCGCTCTGTTGCCCAGGCTGGAGTGCAGTGGCACAATCTTGGCTCACTGCAAGCTCTACCTCCCGGGTTCACGCCATTCTCCTGCCTCAGCACCCCAAGTAGCTAGGACTACAGGCGCCCGCCACCACGCCCAGCTAATTTTTTTTTATTTTTAGTAGAGATGGGGTTTCACTGTGTTAACCAGGATGGTCTCCATCTCCTGACCTTGTGATCCACCCACCTCAGCCTCCCAAAGTGCTGGGATTACAGGCGTGAGCCACCGCGCCCAGTCCTTTTATAAGGCTCTTAATCGTAGGAGCGAGGAAGGAGCCCTCAGCCTAGTCACCTGTTGATACCATCACTTAGGCAACTCCTGGATTTTGGAGGGGACACATTCAAACCACAGCAAAGGCCTTGGCTCTCAGGCGATGCTGGAAGTTCTTTGAGGGCTGAGCTCCACTCAATCTGTCCCTCGGCCAGCGTGCTGTACAAGTCTGTTCCCAAACAGAAGTACCACCGGCAACAGGACGGCACTATCCCCGCGGCCCTGCTCTGGAACTGAGCCCCCAGAGGCAGGCTCCACGGCCCAGCGACCTGCACCAGGACTGACCAGACAGGAGCAGCCTGTGGTCGCTCAGAAAGCGCAGCCCGGCCCCGGGGCCCCTCTGTGTCGTTCTGAGAAGCCCCACCCCGGGGTCTGCGAGGCTTCTGGGGAAAGAAGTTTCTCTTTCCTTCCCTGAGCGGCTGCCACCTGGGCTAGGGGGTGGGCAGGAATAAGGAAGTGTGCTTGGGGGCGGGTGACCCTGCCTGTGGCTGGGGGTGTAGGGACTCCGGGGTGCAGCGGGATGGGCGGCAGCAGAGGCACGGCGGTCACGGATGCCTCTCTGTGTCGGCCGAGGGCAGCCCGCTCCAACAGCAGCCATCTCAGCAGAAAGTGGGGAGGGTGGAATAACCTCCAAAGAAAAAGAAAACTGGGTCACGGCAAGATATTTGGGGAAATCCAGCCAGAATGAAAATCTCACTTTGAGCAATTTAACAAATGGAGTTCCAATCTGAGGGGAACGTCCAGAAGGCGTTTTACCACTGAGCAGTGGTTCATTTGGAACTGTTTTTAATTGAGACTGAAAGACAGAAATGACCAGGACTGAACCCCCTTGGCGGGGTACATCCCAGCTGCTGAGCAGTGCCCCTGTCCCTGCAGCCTCCTCCCAGCCCCCGGGACTCTGCAGGCGTCACCACTCAGCCTCCAGAAGCTTCCCTCTAGTTAATTTCCAGTCTTCAGGCCGGGCGCCATGGCTCAATCAAGCCTGTAATCCTAGCACTTTGGGAGGCTGAGGTGGGTGGATCACAAGGTCAGGAGTTCGAGACCAGCCTGGCCAACATGGTGAATCCTGGTCTCTACTAAAAATACAAAAAAAAAAAAAAAAAAAAAAAAAAATTAGCTGGACGTGGTGGCACTTGCCTGTAGTCCCAGATACTAGGGAGGCTGAGGCGAGAGAATTGCTTGAACCCAGGAAGCAGAGGTTGTAGTGAGCTGAGATTGTGCCACTGCACTCCAGCCTGGGCAACAGAGTGAGACTCTGTCTCAAAAGAAAAAAAACTTCTAGGCTGGGCACGGTGGCTCAAGCCTGTAATCCCAGCACTTTGGGAGGCCGAGGCGGGTGGATCACGAGGTCAGGAGATCGAGACCATCCTGGCTAACGTGGTGAAACCCTGTCTCTACTAAAAATACAAAAAACTAGCTGGGCGTGGTGGCGGCGCCTGTAGTCCCAGCTACTCGGAGGCTGAGGCAGAAGAATGGCGTGAATCTGGGAGGCGGAGCTTGCAGTGGGCGGAGATTGCGCCACTGCACTTGAGCCTGGGCGACACAGCGAGACCCCGTCTCAAAAAAAAAAAAAGAAAAAAAATTTCCAGTCTTCAGGCTGCCCAGTGACATCCTTCAAGGTAAGAAACTACAATAAAAAGCCAAAGGATATCAAAAGGTGCAGGTGGAAGACACCGCCAGAGGCCGAGGCCGGGCCCTCCGTGCAGAGACCCTTCACCAACATGGGCCCCCCAGACCCAGGCCCTGGCCCTCCGCCCTTCGTGGCAGGGTCGGGGCACAAACTCCCCAGAGGACGGGCCGACGCAGACTCAGGGACGCAGTCCCCATCCACACGTGCTGGACACAGCAGCACCTTCTCTCTCCCGCCAGGCAAGAGGGCTGTGGAGCTTGTCCTGGACACGGGACAGTATGCATGTCGGCCTGGCCCTGGGGGCTGGACAACCTCCTGGCACCAGGCGGGTCTCTGCCTGCTCACAGGGTCTCTCTGGGGCTGTGCTGCGTCTCGCGTCCAGTCACTGCGATGCTCGATGTTCAGGTCATGGCACTGTTCCCTCGTGACCTCTGGCCTCTGCTTTATACATGTGGAATCCTGAGCTGGCCTCAGACTTTCAGTCACTCCCCCAACTTCACTAATCAGGTATCAGTGGTGTTTTTTACTTTTTTAAAAAAAGCCACAACTGGATTTTGCAAAACACAGACCATGGAGGGCTGGGCCAACCAAGAGGAGTGTCCCTGGATGCCCCACTCGCGAGTCTAGCCCCTGCTCCCTGCGCTTCCCAGATACCAAACAGCACCCACCGAGGCTGGGCGAAGGCAAAAGTGTTTATTCAAAACTTCCTGCCACACTGTGGGAAACATCAGTAAACAGTTATAATTCCGAGTCGCTGCAAGTTTGGGGTTGGACGCTGGCTCTCACGGTAGCCTGTGCTGGGACCATCAGCAGCCATGTGCACCTCCACGCATGGCCGAGCTCAACCTGAAGACCACACGTGCCGCCTGGCAGAAGGAGGCCTGACCGCAGACGCAGCGGCTCCCAGCCTGAGCCTGGGCGTGCACCAGCCGGCTCGCAGCGGAGGCCATGTCTCCTCACAGACTGGAGTGAGCTCAGAGTCGAGAGGTTAGAGGACCTCAGACTAAGAGCTGCAACAGAACGACAGCAAGAACATTCTGGAAACAATGCCAGAGTGAATCTTTTATCCTCTCACTCACACTTGGTGAGGGCCTCAGACATGAAAGCCTGGGGATAGATGAGTGGGACCTCCAGAGTTTGGCTGGGATGTGGCTGAGAAAGACCTGCTGCTGGCCGGGGAAGACAGTGGCTGGCGTGGCCCTCATGGCCAGCAGGTGCTAGGACTCCTCCAGAGCCCCGGGCGCCTGTCTAAGCTGCCGGCTGTGGACCACCTGCAGAGCTCCCCCCGCAGCCTGGCGGAGCTGGGCATCCAGGGCGCCACGGAGGTTGTTCACCTGGACATCAGGCAGGGAGTTAAGGCCAATGATGACCCCATCCCTCGGGGCCAGCTCGCCCTCTCCATGAGGGCTAAGGTCCCGCCGTCGCCTCCGGAGGTCAGAGCCAGCCTGCAGTTTCAGGTCCCGGTTAGGCTTGGCATTGTCCGGCCTCTGGCCCCCCGGGACAGCTCGTTTGGGCCCCAGCTCGGGCTCTGGCCTCTGCCTGGGCTCTTGGACAGCAGCGTCCTCCCTGCCTCTCGGCTGCTCGTGAGACACAGGCACATGGTCCCCGCCGTGGGCCTCCTTTCTCATCTCCAGGTGACCGCCATGGTCCCGCCGGTGGCCCTGCTGTCCGTCCTGCTCGCCGTCAGAGATGACCCGCAGTTCCAGCTGGTGGACCATAGCCTGGGGCTGTGCGGCCGCTCCTCCCGCCCTGCCGGGCAGGTCCAGGTCTGCTGCAAGGCCCAGGTCTCGGCTCATCTGCTTGGGCTCCACGCGAGCGTCTCCTGTCTCTGCTCCTGGCTCTGCCACGAGCCAATTGGCTTCCTTCAGAATGCCGGTGCCAGTGGCTGCCACCTCTTTCCCAGGTTTTTTCCTGTCTTGGGAACCACCGCCAGTAATGTCTTGACTTTGCCCGGGGAATTCCTCTGCAAGGCGCTCCTCTGGACCCCTGGCTTCCCTGGCAGGGTCTGGCACGGGCACCTGCTCTGGGCCCTTGGGAAGCCCCTTCACCGTGCCAGCTGCCCCGGGGGCGGCATCCTTCTGGCCATCTCTCGGCTTGGCCTGGGCTGCCCGAGGCTCTGTGTCAGGGCCGTCATCAGGAGGGCCAGCAGGTTCTCTGCCTGCAGGCCCCTCACGGTGCTCCAGGGAACGCTGGTTAAGGTCCTGGGATGGAGCGGGGCGGCCCCCGGGAGCTTTGAGGACACGGTCCACAGGCAGGGGAGGCAGATTCTCCACCGTCTCCCTGGCCTTGCCTTCGGGGGCCTCCTGGCCTCTGGGCACTGCCACCCCGGGCTCTGGATGCACCTCCACTGCAAATGAAGTCGGCCATCAGCTGAGCCACAGCACTGAGCACACGCTGCCAGTGGGCCCAAAAGAACAAGCAACACTGGGCACTGGGAACCAAAACCCACACTCACCCTCAGGACTTGAGGCCACCGAGGCTCAGACCCAGCCGCATGATGACGGCAGGAGACCCCCTGCCTGGTCCCACCCCACTCCATCCGCCGGCCCAGCCTACCCTGCCTGGGCTTGTCCTCCTCATCCTCCTGCCTCTGCTGGTGGATCTCCTTGTGCTGCTCCTCAATCACCGCCAGCAGCTTCTCCTGCTGGTCCAGCAAGCGCTTTTGCTGCACCTGCTGTTCTTTGATCACCTGAAGCAGGACGGCGTGGTCCAGCATCTCTGCCCTGCCAGCCTCTGGGTTTGGAAAGAACACAGTCAGAGGGTGCCGGGGCTGCTCATGCATCGTGCTGGGCCAAAGACTGCGCCCACAGCAAGACAACACACAGGTCACCTGCAGGGAGTGCGCCCGAACACTGGCCACTGGTGACACTCGTCATGACCGTGACCATGAAGCCCGGACAGCGCAGTGAGACACGCAGGTCCAAGGACCTGGGAGAGGCTGTGCCCTGACTGCCCCTGGAAGCCCACCCGGGACGGCCTCTCCCGCCAGCCAGCCACTCTGCTGCATCAGTTCTCCCACTGGCTGTGCCACAGCCGCACCCGGCAGGACCCCAGCAAGCCTGCTTGTTGTCCATGAAAATGAGTGTCCAGAGCAACACGGAGTCAAAAGGAATGTGCCAGAATGTCAGAGATGGTTATCTGGGCTGGGTGGGTTTTTCTTTTTTTTCCCCACTTTACACATTCAGTTGTTCTAGGACAAGTATGTAAGAAAATAAGCCTGGGCACGGTGGCTCATGCCCGTAATCCCAGCAATTTTGGAGGCCAAGGCAGGCAGATCACTTGAGCCCAGGAGGTAGAGACCAGCCTGGGAAACATAGCAAGACCTCCATCTCCACACACACACACAAAACATAAAAATTATCAGGGTGTGGTGACAGGCGTCTGTACTCCCAGCTACTCAGGAGGCAGAGGCCCGAGGATCACTTGAGCCCAGGAGGTTGAGGCTACAGTGAGCTGTGATCACACCACTGCACTCCAGCCTGGGCAACAAAGCGAGACCCTGTCTCAAAAAAGAAAAAAAGAAAAGAAAAACTGTAAGCTATGTTTTGAAAAGAATATTGATACTTTTAGAAAGTTTCCTCCGAGATGAGAATTTTAAAACCAAACAAAAGCTGTCTTCTTTTAAGGGGAGGATGGGAGCTGGAGCGTCAGTGAGGCCCCGACCAGCCGTCCTGACCACTGCTCCTGACCACCATCTGCTGTGGAAATTCCGGGCAGGTCCTGCGTGATGGGGAGCCTGGGTGCGCCCAGCGTTAAGAACTGGTGCTGGCAGCAGGGGCCAGAAGACAGGCCTCCCGGGTTACAGCTGGCCCACACTTGCTGCAAGAGCACCTGGTCCGACTCGCTTCAGCACTGGCCAGTTATTTGTTGCAAGCGGCTGTGAATTATGTAATTTTTACAACGCATTTTCAAATTATTATAGGAAGCTTTGAAAAATGATGGGTCAGGGCTGTGAGGCATAAAAGTTCAATCCAGGAGCAAGAGGGATGTTTTGCGAGTAGTGAGAGCAGATATCTCAGGGAGGGCCCCTGCATGCCAGACACAGACTGACGCGCTGGCCCAGCCTCCCCAGTGACACCACGACCAGCCAGAGAAGCGCAGGGTCAGCATTCTCCCAGGAACACAGCCCTGGGCCTCGCCCAGACCCCTGCATGTGGGGGACAGGGCCGGCTCCAAGGAGATCGGGGCCATGGGGCTGGCCCTCGAGCGGCAGCCCCTGCTCCCTGCTAGGGCCCGGGCCAGACGCCTGCCTGCAGGGAAAGGCCATGACGGGCAGAGCAGGTCTCCTGCAAACCTCCTTTCACATGAGGAAGTGCAGGCAGCAGACCAGCCACCTTGGCCTTGGGCCACGCTCTTGCCCTGGGTGCTGCAGGGCTCAACCACGGAATGGTCAATGGTACAAGGACGAGATCCCACGTGCCGGTGACACCTCCAGGCAGCAGACCAGCCACCTTGGCCTTGGGCCACGCTCTTGCCCTGGGTGCTGCAGGGCTCAACCACGGAATGGTCAATGGTACAAGGACGGTGATCCCACGTGCCGGGGTGACACCTCCCCGTACTCCAGGACAGGGTTCCGGGAAGGGGCAGGCACCACGCCTCACTTTGGCCTCCCGAAGGACTAGCCCTGGGCCTGGTGCTCAGAAGAGGAGGAAAGACGAGGAGACAGAAGGGAGGAGGGGGAGGGAGAAAGAGAGGAGGAGGGAGAAGAAGGAAGGCGAGGGAAGAGGAGGACAAGAGAGGAGGAAAGAGGAGGGAGGAGGAGGAAAGAGGGAGAGAAGGGCAGCAGGGAAGAGAGGAGGGGGAAGGAGGGAGGGAAGAGGGAGGGAAGAGGAGGGAGAAGGAGGGAGGGAAGAGGAGGGAGAAGGGAGAAGGAGGGAAGAGGAGGGAGAAGGGGGAGAAGGGAGAAGGAGGGAAGAGGAGGGAGAAGGGAGAAGGAGGGAAGAGGAGGGAGAAGTGGAGAAGGAGGAAGAGGAGGGAGAAGGGAGAGAGCAGAGAAGGAGGGAAGAGGAGGGAGAAGGGAGAAGGAGGGAAGAGGAGGAAGTAGGGAGAAGGAGGGAAGGAGAAGGAGGGAGGGAGAAAGAGGGAGGGAAGAGGAGGGAGGAGAAGAGGAAGAGGGGTAAAAAAGAGGGGGAGGGGAGGGAGGAAGGAGCCTTGCCACGTCCAGCCAGAAGCCACATGGGACATATGTGAAGCACTGTGGAGGAGACAGGCTGTTCCTACAGCCAGAGCCCACCAACACCACAGGGACCGGACTGCAGAAGGCACGGAGCCACCCACCTATTGAGACCCACACAGATCTCTCAAGGCGGCCCATGAGGCAGCAGCGCAGGCAGCGCCCCGCCTCGGCTGGTGCCCTAAGCAGCCTGCCCTCTGATGACAGGCAAGGCCACAGCAGGGCTGAGAAGGACCACGGCATTTATAACACAAGGGAGCAGAGTGGGCGTCGGGACCCCGCCTGAGGGCTGCGGCTGAGCCTGGGTCTGGGGCCTGACACGTGTCCCCATGCAGGGCTGTCCTGGGGCAGGTGTGCCGCCGAGGGGCTGCGCTCAGGTCTGAGGCCCTCCAGGCGCGCTCTGTACTTCAGCACACTCCTTTGGGTTCGTACCTGCTACTATCTTTTTAATCTCAGCTGTTCGTCCCGTTGAGAGGCATACGGAAGAAAGGCAGAATAGGAAACCGTGAAAAGTCTTTTTCAGAAAGAAGAAAATCAAAAGAATCAAACAGGTTCAGGTAACAGAGCATAGGAATTGGAACCAAAAAATATGGCCTGACTAAAACCTGAGACAAAATCCCACATGTGTGAACTTCTGAAGCAGCTCAGAGCTCCGGAAGCCCAGGGGCACCTTTCGGCTCTGTCTTCCGTGCTGCAGATGCGAGGAGGGTGAGCTGCACCCGTGAGAAGCCAGGCTGCAACCACTGGGACACGGCTGCTGCACCCGCCCTCCCTCGGACCAGCTGTCCTGAGGCCACAGGGCAAGAGGCGCGGGCAGGAAGTGCGTGTCTTACGAACGCCCTGGGAAGTGCCCGCGCCAAGACTGGCCTGGAGCTCCCACACCTGCTCCCAGGGGCTTGGCCCAGGAGGCTGGAGCGGCTGTGCCCTGTGATCCCCATACAGATGCCTGGAACAGACCCTCTCAATGCCGGGGCACACGTGGACCCCGCATGGGGCAGGGCTGACCATCCTGAGAGGAGGCTTGGACGCTGCCACCAAATGTAGCTGACGTTTGGCAAGTGGGGCTCAGCCACATACCCCCAGAGGGCGAGTGGACCCCAGCCTGGGAGAGGACATGGCACAGAAGCCTGTCCCCAGCAGGCCCACAGGGGGGCTGCTGCCACCCAACTGCGTGAGGTCACAGGGAGGGGCCGCAAAAGCCAACAGCTGGGACCCAAGGGGCAGGAAGTTTGGAGGAGGAGTCACAGTAAGTTTTATTCTCAGGAGAGCAAAGGCATGAGGAGCCTTCCTGGAGGGACAGGTGACAGATCCCTGCCGAGGAACACAGCCGAGCTCCGAGGGCCGAGGGTGTGGGAGCAGCGCTCTGGGCTGGGGCTCTGCTAGGACCAGCGTGGGTGCAGCCACCCGCAAGCCGGGTCCCCTCAGGGTATAGCCTTAAAATAAACCTCCACATCTGGGTGCAGGCACGCCCACACCTGCCTGGCTTTAAATACTGCGAGTGTTAGAACTGCTAACAAACCTGCTTTAAAATGAGACAAAATGGTAATCACAAGCCAGGTGACAATGCTGCAGGTGTTTTAAAGGGGAGTAAGGGAGATAAAACGTTCCCAGGGAGGGATAAAACGTTCCCAGAAAGCAAGCTGCTGATGGGAAGGGAGCAGAAAGCTATCCGAGGGGTCTGCTTAGCAGACGGCTGGAAAGAGAAGGGTGCCTGACAGGGCTCCCTAGGATGACCTGGGCATCACCCCAGGGCTGGGGGAGGGGCTGCTGCTCCCTGGGCCTGAGGCGGGCAGCTGTGGGGCCAAGGCCTTACCTTCCAGCTGGCTGGCCGCCTGGTCTCCGCCCGCTCGCTCCACGTCCCTCTGCTCTCGAGGCTCAGGCGGCAGCCCAGCCCCCGGAGCCGGCTTCTCCGCTGGGAGGGGAGGCTTCCCACCTGCACACACGGTGAAGACTCAGAAGGTTTTGCAGGAAAGTCAAGGGAGGATTGGGGGGGGGGGACAGAAGGCAAGGGAGGGACAAAAGGAGGTGGCAGATGTTTCTAAAGAGACACCCCCGTCAGCACAGTTTATATGCAACCTGATGATTACTAGCGAAGCAATAAAAAAATATTTAACAACCTCATAGGCTTGTGGCAATGAGCCAATGTTAACTGCCTTCGCAATTAAAATGCAAGAACCGTCCTAAGCAGCTCTTAGACGGGCACTTAACAACATGTTACCTGTCAGGCGCCCCCCGCGCCACCCCCTGTGTGCGCGCAGACACACGAGCACAGCGCGGCACCTGACATTTAGTGGTCTGGCAAACAACTGTGTGACAGATATTACAGTAGCTGTCAGCCACCAGCCTCTTCCTGTCCCCACCAGCTGCCGGGCCGCTCCATTTGCATGCTAATCTGGAGCAGGGCGAGAGACTGGGGCCTGAGGGAGGAGCCATCGATTCTGCTGCCCCTGCCCAGCCTCTCCAGCCCGAGAGGGAAGCGTTGTCCCACACGAGCCCAGGGTGACACCCACCATGGTCGCTGTCCTCTGCGGGCTGCCCTGTATCCCCGGCGGCGTTGCCTGGTGGCGGCCCCCCATCGGCCTTTTCCCCTTCACCCACTGCCAGGGCATTCTGCTGCTCAGACAGCACTGCCTGGGGCCGAGGATGCAGGTCCCTGTCTCCTGGCCCCAGGTCTTCCTTTGCAGGCTGGACAGCTGGCTGACCATCTGCTTCTGGAACTTTCTGGGGATCTTCAGGAAGATCGCCCGCTTCCTCCAAGGCCTGGGCCTGTCCAGGCCTCTTCCCAACCTCTCCCTGCTCCGGCTCCCGTTTCTCTCTTTCTGAGTCGGGCAGAGGCGGTGCCATCTGGCCTTGGACCCCTGGAGCCTTTCCGCCCACGTGTCTGGATGGAGGTTTGTTCTCTTCTGGCACCTCTCGGTCTTGGCCTTCATCTACCACCACCTTGTCGTGAGGAACAGGAGGCTCGTGGCGGTGGGCCTCGCCCACAGGCATGGCAATCCCTGGAAGGGCACGGGGGACAGATGGGGTCAGGCTGAGGCCCCTCCTTGCCTTCCCAGGGAATCTGAACTGGGTTCTTCCCTGGGTTCTGGCTCCCAACAGTGTGACACAGGCCAACAGATACCACCTCCCCGCTGGCCTCCCTGCTGCCTGGTCAAGCGCAGTTGACGCTAAAGTTACAACAGGGGCAGCTGCAAACAAGTTGCTCTGGGAGGGGCAGGACATTCATCTGAATTGAAAGACACAGAAAACAAAAATGACCAGAACTTAGGATGGGCTGAAGGGAAACACACACACATAGCCCCGAGAGCCACGCCGCAGGGTGTCCGGCCTGCAAAGGAGGACCTGGGACCCCCCTTCCCCGTCCCCATCCATGGCCAGTGCCCAGTACCTTGCCCAGGGCGATCAAGCTGTGCCTCCTCCTGTGCTTCCTTGCCATCTTCCCGTCCAGGCACATCCACGGGCCCCTTGATCTGAGCCTGCTCCAGCTCCTCTCTCTCCTTTGGCAGCTTCGGCTTCTCCCGGCCATCCTCGGCCATGGCCACGACCGGATCCTGGGCTGGGAGCAGGGTACAGTTAGGGAACTGCACTGCAGGAGTGGGGCGGCTCTCCCTGGACTGTTACCATATTTTCCAGCCCAACGGCAGAGCCAAAGCAGTTATTTTTTTTCCTGTTCGATCATTAGCAGCTAAGTAGCACAGAAAACTGTCATTTTTCATGTGTATTCATAACAAAAATATGTCAAAATGCAATTTACACCTAACTGGGGGCAGGGAGAGCTAGATTCCATGTAATACCCAGTCATTACCACCAGATGGCAGCATGAGCCCACTGACCGACTGTCCCACAGTCCCCTCCATTACCGCCATCACCTCCATCACCACCGCCATCACCGTCACCATCCCCTCCACCACCACCATCACCACCATCACCGCTACCAATCACCATCATCTCCATCCCTACCACCATCAGTGCCATCACCACTGTCACCACTACATCACCATCACTGCCACCCCATCATCATTGCTACCACCTCCGTCATCATCACCACCACTATCTCCAGCCGTACCACCACCACTGCCATCCCCACCACCATCGCTGCATCACTGCCACCTCCATAATCATCACCTCCATCACCGCCTTCCTGTCCCAGCAAGCCCATATGTCCACTGAGACAGGCGCTGCAGCCTAAGGGGACTCAGGTGAAGCTGTCTGGGGAAAAATTCTCAGAGTCCAGTTCAGAGCAGCAGATGGGGGCTCACCAGCTCCCAAAGGAGAAGAAAATGGGGACAATTATCTTAGCTTTATACCAGCCTTCTAGGAGCAGCCTGATGTGTTAGTCTAGGGAAACAGACAGTTACACTGTTGTCAATTTGGAGTTGAGAGTCCTAGACAAACTGTAGAGGGTAGGTACCACCCTACTGGGTAATAAACCAGTTAACAGAAAGCAGACACTAGGCTCTACAGTTTAGCTAAGCAACAAATTCAACTGTTGTTGTTGTTTTTCTTTCCAGACGGACTCCTGCTGTGTCGCCCAGGCCGGAGTGCAGTGGCGCAATCTCAGCTCACTGCAACCTCTGCCTCCCAGGTTCAAGCAATTTTCATGCCTCAGCCTCCTGTAGCTGGGATTACAGGCACCTGCCACAACGCCTGGCTGATTTTTGTATATCTTTAGTAGACACAGGGTTTCACCACATTGGCTAGGCTGGTCTCAAACTCCTGACCTCCAGTGGTCCACCGCACCCGGCCCAAGTGACCAGTTCTATAAGCGTTTGGCCACCCGCCAGAGCAGGTGAAAACACACCAGTCGCCATCACATGATTAAGCCTCAGCCAGAGGCTCCATGCAGAAACGAGCCACGACTGTCAATCAAGAGGGCCTGTCCAATGGATTACTATGTGAAGAAAGGGAGGCTGGGGAGGGGAAGGGAAAATATAGCAAAACAAAGGAAATCTCCGTTGTCATAGGACAAGTTGCCTCTGAGAAGTCATTTTCTCAGCACGAAGCACAGTTCAGTTCCTCAGGCCGTGAATGACCGTCTGGGGCTCCAGTGGGAGCTCCGTGTGGGTGCAGGAGCCGCAGGATGGGAAGTGAGCACGGTGAGCCGGGAGCTGCCCCAGAGGTCCCTTTCTTTGGAGAACCTCCCGGGAACGCCATGCCTCTCAGCGTTCTGCAAGCGTTGCTGGATTGCACAGGCACCTGCGGGAAGGCTGCGCGAGCGTCCTAGCTCCCCGCCGCCGGCAGCAGCTGACCAGCCGAGGGCCGCACTCACAGCCTTCACGCCTGGCGCTCTGCAGCTGTCCGCGGGCAAGGCACACAGCCTCTTCCACAGCGGAGCCGACCTTTGCGTCAGGGACAGTTTGCCCGCAGTGCCTCTTGGCTGCAGTAAAACTAACACAAAACTTCAAAATTAGCAACTGGAAAACATGTGAGTGCTGCCAGCCGCTTCGGATCTCGACATGAACACAGGTGCGCAAAGACAGAAAGGGGCCCCGTGTGGGGAGTGCCCCCGCCAGCTCACGACTGAGCAAATCAGGAGGGAGGAGATCTCTGGCATCTGAATGTCTTCTCCTAAGAGGCCAGCAATACACCGGCTAAGCCACAGTAGAGGCGGCCACGGCCAAGAGGGACAGCTCCACACACCCCCCCAGGAACACCCAGCGGAGGGTACTGCCGCAGAGCAACCGTCCCCCCTCATTCGGCTTCAAAAATCGCCTCCAGGCCAGGTGTGCGGTGCGGCCGAGGCAGGAAGACCACTCGAGGTCAGGAGTTTAACACCATCCTGGCGAAACCCTGTCTCAACAAAAAATACAAAATTAGCCGGGTGTGGTGCCGTGCCTGTACTCTTGGCTACTCGGGAGGCTGATGTGGGAGAATCGCTTGAACTTGGGAGGTGGAGGCTGTAGTTAGCCAGTATCGTGCCAGTGCACTCCAGCCTGGGCGACAGAGCGAGATTCTGTCTCAAAAAGAAAAAAAAAATCCTCTCCAGTCACAAAAAACCACGACCTGTGGGTGTCATCGGCACCGGCGCCAAGGATGCCGTGTTAGGCCCTGTCCCAGCGGCTCCTCACTGCCGGGTGCTGACGCAGGTTCCCAGCTCCTGGCACGCACAGAAACACACACCTTCCTAACAAGTGACAGAGGCCACAACTGGGCCATGGCGGAGGCAGATCCCTCACTTTCCTCCCTGCTGTCCAGTCGGGCACGGAGGCCCCGAGGCTGCCAAGGCCACAGCTCAGGACTCGGTCTTTGGAGTTAGACACACTCGGGGACTTGGAGGTGGTGACCTGGAGGGGAAGGGGCAACATCTAATGCGTCCCCAACCCCACATTCAAGGCTGGCGTCCACCCCAGACCAAAGGCCAGCACAGACGTGCAGGGAGGCCAGCGATGCTGCCGTCCAGACCCCAAGAGTCGGCAAGGTGGCTCTGCAGGCTGCCAGCCTGGACCCGCCGTGGCTCCCTCTGTGTGCCTTGTGATCAGCAAAGACGGAGACAGTCACGCCAGATGGTCCCCAGAAGAAGCGACTTTTAAACATGGTCCTGGTGGCCGGGCGCGGTGGCTCACGCCTGTAATCCCAGCACTTTGGGAGGCCGAGACAGGCGGATCACGAGGTCAGGAGATCGAGACCACTCGGGCTAACACGGTGAAACCCTGTCTCTACTAAAAAATACAAAAAACTAGCCGGGCGTGGTGGCAGGTGCCTGTATCCCAGCTACTCGGGAGGCTGAGGCAGGAGAATGGCGTAAACCCGGGAGGCGGAGCTTGCAGTGAGCTGAGATCCGGCCACTGCACTCCAGCCTGGGCAACAGAGCGAGACTCTGTCTCAAAAAAAAAAAAAAAAAAAAAAAAAACAAAAAAAAAAACATGGTCCCGGCATCTCACTGACGGAGTTCCTCATCCACTCGAGCGCCACCCCAAATTCACGAGGAGGCTCAGGATCCCAGGGCGCCACACTCCCAAGAGGCGGGAACAATGGCTGCTGATGTGACTTTTAAAAGCTAGTCCCTGCTTTTCGCCAACTTTTCCAATAGCTGATTTCTGACTTTCCCTTGATGCTGCCATGAGAAAGGATTACTCATTAAGGGCTTGGCTTTACAGCCCAATCTTCCACACATAGCTGACCGATGACCTCATGGTCTCATCTTTCCGAACGTGAAGGGGAATCCCAGGCCATCTGGCTCCTGGTACCCGGGTGTCTGGGCTGGCAACACAGCCAGGCCCTGGTACAGCCTCCAGCAGGCGGAACCTCTTCACCACTGCTTTTGCCTCCACTGCGGCTGGCACCGCTGCTGTCTCTTGGGAGGCGGGAGAAGCTCCCAATTCCTTCCATACAGCACGGAATGATCTGTGAGAGACTTAGGGCCACATGCTTCTCCCTTCTCTCGTCTGACTGTGGGGACATTGCCACCCTGCTGGAGCAATGCCCTACTGAGAAAGCTTTTGTTTGTTTGTTTGTTTGTTTGTTTTTTGAGACGGAGTCTCGCTCTGTCGCCCAGGCTGGAGTGCAGTGGCCGGATCTCTGCTCACTGCAAGCTCCGCCTCCTGGGTTTACGCCGTCCTCCTGCCTCAGCCTCCCGAGTAGCTGGGACTACAGGTGCCCGCCACCTCGCCCGGCTAGTTTTTTTGTACTTTTTAGTAGAGACGGGGTTTCACCGTGTTAGCCAGGATGGTCTCGATTTCCTGACCTCATGATCCGCCCGCCTGGGCCTTCCAAAGTGCTGGGATTACAGGCTTGAGCCACCGCGCCCGGCCTTTTTTTTTTTTTTTTTTAAAAGAGACAGGGTCCCACTCTGTCACCCAGGCTGGAGTGCAGTGGTGCCATCTCGGCTCCCTGCAGCCCCGACCTTCCAGGCTCAAGCGATCCTCCCACCTCAGCATCCTGCCACCACACCCGGCTCATTTTTGTATTTTTAGTAGAGACGGGGTTTCACCATGTTGGCTGGGCTGATCTCAAACTCCTGACCTCAGGTGCTCCTCCTGCCTTGGCCTCCCAAAGTGCTGGGATTCCAGGTGTGAGCCACCACACTGGCCCGGAGAAGGCTTCTGATAGCTCCTTTGCTGTGTCCCCCACACCTCTCCTCCTGTTATAATTTTGTGCCGTGTTTCTGCTGCTGTCCTGAAATGGCAGGGAGCGATTCCATTGTCTAAGCTAACTGTGCCAGCCGCACAGGACCTGGCCAGGTTCCGAAGGGCCCTGCCTCCCGCAGCCTCTGGCCTGTGTTGAGCCACGTGACCTGGCTCCACGCGTGGGGGCCGTGTGTCCCCACTTGGGCCTGAGCACACACAACTGTGGCCATCTCTGCCCCTGCACCAACATGCACGACCCGTCGACACCCAGCCAGACCCTCATTCTGTCCCCTATCACCGCATTCTGGCTCCCTGCTTAGCCAGGCCGCTGCCTCATTTTCTCACCGAGTGGAAGTGCAGCTGGGCCTGCCCCACTGGGGGAGCGGGCATGAGGGTGCCTGAGGGGTGTGGGCCCTGCTGTGCTGCCCCGTGCAGCGTGGAGGAACCGGGAGGGACGGGGGACCTGCAGCTCCAAGAAAGGAACAGATGTCACAAAACCCAAACCCGCCCCTCGCCTCCAGGGTGCTAGAGAGAGCAGGTAGGAACGGCCCGACTCCCGGCTTTCAAGGTAACCGTCTTCATGAGCCTTTGCAGGGACTCAGCCACGCTCACAAAGACCTCCGAGGCTGGGCATGGGGCCCAGGCTGTGCGCGTCTAACCACGACATCTGCATGAGGATGGGATTCCCAGCCACAGCCCAGGGCCACGCAAGACTCTCACCCGGTCAGCAGATACCATTTTTGGCCTCTGCAGCATCAAGGAGACCAATAAAACTCCGCTCAGCCGTCCGACAGGGAGCGCGCATCAGTGCAGGACCCTCGACCCCAGCTCAGCCTCAGCCAGGCGGCCCATCTATCATGGCCGGGGCTGGAAAATCGGAGACATGCTAAAAACAAGCGGCATGTGGTTCTGAGAGGGGCCATGTGTTTTGTTACAGCCTCATGGAAGAAATAGAAACCAGATGTGGCCTCGGAGGGCACCAGATGAGCCGGAGGCCTGCGGCCTGCACAAGCCTCATGACAGGATACAGCTGCTTGCACCAGCCGCAAGTGGAGGCCATGCAGGGCTGGGGGGACAGGGAGCATCCTGCTGGCTGGCACTGAGAAGAGAAGTCCATTCCCAGCAGCCCGCTAGACGAGGGCGACACCCCTCACTGCCCAGGCTGGGGTCCCAGCACACTGGACCCACCAACAGTTTCCGTGTCAGCGCCCACTCTAGCCCAGAGGCCTGGACAGCAACAGGTGGTCCTGCCCAGGCAACACCGAGCCTGGGGCCCCAGCTGAGGTGGGTGTAAAACCCCCCGCCTGCCTCTCCAGGTGGACTTTGTTCCAGTCCGAATCACCAAAGCCAACGCAGGGCAGCTGGCAGCCACCGGCGGCTTCGAACACTCACGTTTTCTTTCTCTGGTGACCCCAACTGTCCCCAGCCACAGCCCCGCCAGCTGCAGGGAACCCAGAAGGCAGGGCTCCCCTGCCCACCTTCACCATCCAGGAACAGTCATCCTTGGCAAATCTGAGCACAGCGGATCCAGGGAGACCCTCGGAGGGTGTGTATGAGGTGACAACACTGGGAAGGAGCTTTCCAGGCACAGAGTGTGGAGCTCAGAACAGAGATGACAACAAGCCCCAGGGTCACGGTTGAGACGGCGCCCCCACGCGCTCAGCAGAAGCCAGGGGCTCCCTTCGACGGACCTCTCCTCCTGTCCATTACAGAAGTGGAGGCCCCTCCCCGAGGCAGAAGTCACTGGCCAGCACCTCCACAGCGACCTGAGACCCCCAGCCACAGCCGGTACTGCTCACCAGGGCTCCCAGGGTGGTGTGCAGATGACACCCGGCCAATCTGACTGAGCTGGGGCCTCTGCCCAGGGGTGCGTTGGACGTGGTGGACACACAGGCATTGTGGATGAATAAACCCAGCTGTTGTCAGGGGCAGAAGACCCCAGCATGAAGGTCACTGTGGACAGCACCTACCTGCCCATGCCTGCCTGGCGCCACTCAGAACTCATGGGCAGGCCTGGGCCCGGGGAGGTCTGCTGCCTGCAGGGCCGCCCTGTGTGGCACTCCCCCTCTAGGCCTGGGAGGGTCAGGGAGGCAGTAGCCATCCAGGCCACGGAGCTGCAGCTGCACCTGGAAAGCCACACTCAGGAAACACATCTCTCTGCACCCCTGGGCTCTGCCACAGACGGAGACATCGGGGTTACGGGGCACCACAGCCGGGACCGTGCCACAGACGGAGGCATCGGGGTTACGGGGCACCGCAGCCGGGACCATGCCACAGACGGAGGCATCGGAGTTACGGGGCACCGCAGCCGGGACCGTGCCACAGACGCAGGCATCGGGGTTACGGGGCACCGCAGCCGGGACCGTGCCACAGATGGAGGCATCAGGGTTACGGGGCACCGCAGCCGGGACTGTGCCACAGACGGAGAGTCGAGATTACGGGGCACCGCAGCCGGGACCGTGCCACAGACGGAGGCATTGGGGTTACAGGGCACCGCAGCCGGGACTGTGCCACAGACGGAGAGTCGAGATTACGGGGCACCGCGGGGCCCGTCTAAAAGTGTCCTGCAGCTAGCTGCATGAGGGCTCACGGTCCTAACTCCACCCACGGTCCTGGTGAACAAATAATAAATAACCTGAAGCAGCAAACCAAACTGAGGCCTGATCGCCGACCCTGTCCAGGAGAAAACCGGAGAAACTGACATCCTCAAATGAACAGCACGTGAGCAACACTCAGAAACGTAGACCCCACCTAGCCCACCGAGTGGCAGGCATCCAGGCCGGCGGCCACTCCTGTCCCACGTTCCCCACATACCGGCGGCCACTCCTGCCCCACGTTCCCCGCATACAGGCGGCCACTCCTGTCCCACATTCCCCACATACAGGCGGTCACCCCACGGCCAGCCATGGTGCACAGAGCATCTTCATGGGCAAGGCGGTGGCCCCACCCCGCTGGCTGCACCCACATAGGACAGAGGCCACAGAGCAGATAAGCACAATCCTTGGACCAGACCCAGGAGATGCCCAGTGGGCACCTGCCCTGAGAAGGCTCAAAGGGCCAGGGTGGACATACCTGAGAGTCGCGCTGCCTCTGCCTTCACCAAACCCTCGGCCTCTCCAAGTCGGCCGCCGGGGGCTTCCTCCGCCAAGTCCTCAGGGACCTCCTCGCCCACGGACAGTGTGGTGACAGTGCTCACCACCAGGACGCCCAGGCCGACCCACAGCACCACCTGCGGAGACAAAGACCCCAGGGGCGGGAGTCACAGCTGTGGCCCCCGCTCCTGCCGAGTATGAGACTGGCCTGGCAGAGAGGCTCAGGGACGGGGCGAGGCACGAGGAGAGTGGACCTGACAAAGTCCCCCGAGGGTGACAGGCGTGCAGTCGGCCCTGCCTGAGGACAGGTGGCCACTCCCAGGGAGACTTGGGCCTGCCGCCGGCGAAGCTCCTGACCACTGGGAGAGGACTGAGGCCTGATGCGCTGTTCTCAGAGCATGGCAGGACTCCTGGCATCCAGCCTGTGGCTGACATGCCCTCCCCGCCAGCTGGGGTCACGGGCCAACCCTGTCAGAGCTATGCCAGCCATTCAGGCCGGAGAGGGAGGGACAGAATCCGTTCAGAAGAACTGGTGAGACCTCCCTGGTCCAACACAATTAGAGAAGAGGGCTCCGTGGCGGGAAGGACCCGCACTCTCTGAAGCTGGTGTTGACTGAAAAAGACAACCCAGCGGAGAGCCTGCTTCCTCCACTTCCCTCTCTGCCACCTGGAAACACTGGGCTGGTGTTGGTGTCTCCGGACGCCAGGTGCTGCTGAGGATCTGAGGTCAGTGGGCTCTGCCGAAGAGAGCCCGGCCGCCGTGTGCCTCAGGGCTTGTAGGATGCCCAGGGCCCCTCTGGCAGTAGCCACAGCTGGCCGGAGCATGTGGTGACGGCAGGCCTGCCCCAGGTGCACGTGGGGCCACTGTCTGATGTATGTTCTGGAGGTCCGGGCAAGGCCTGCAGGCTCGGCGGCCCACAGAGTCTGCCTCACCCTGGCCCCGAATGTTCTGCATTTGTAGAGGCCCCTCCAGCCACGTTACATCTTCCCTGTGGCGAAGGGAAAAGTCCCAGGGCAGTGGTGGTGTCCGGAAGGCGACCAAAGCAGTCTTTTTTTTTTTTTTTTTGAGACGGAGTCTTGCTCTGTCGCCCAGGCTGGAGTGCAGTGGCCGGATCTCAGCTCACTGCAGGCTCTGCCTCCTGGGTTTACGCCATTCTCCTGCCTCAGCCTCCCCAGTAGCTGGGACTACAGGCGCCCGCCACCTCACCCGGCTAGTTTTTTGTATTTTTTAGTAGAGACGGGGTTTCACCGTGTTAGCCAGGATGGTCTCGATCTCCTGACCTCGTGATCCGCCCAACTCGGCCTCCCAAAGTGCTGGGATTACAGGCTTGAGCCACCGCGCCCGGCCCAAAGCAGTCTTAAGATAATAAAAAGAGGAAGAAACCTGAAATCTCCCGAGGCTGTGCGGTCCGTGTAGGGAGCACGTGTGGAAAGGCTGCCCGGCAGCAGCTGTCAGTGGGTGACATGGGCGGTCATGGCTTAGAGGCCTGATGCCAGAAGGAAAGGCCATCAGAGGCAGGCCTTGGGGGCCCGTTAGAGCCCTCGTGACCCCTCCTGCCCCCGGACCTCCGTCTTCAGTCCCCGCCCTCCCATCGAGGCCTCTGCCAGCCAGCACAGGGCAGAGACCAGGCTCAGGCCACCTGGGGTAAAGGGTCTGGATGGAAATTTAACCCGACCCACCAGGAAGTGCCTGGACAGGAGACCGTGTTGTCTGGAAGCCCTGGGAAGCCCCTCAGTGTAGGAACCCTGCCCCACAGGGCAGCACACCCTCACCTCTAACTGGGCACAGACGGGACGGCTGGGAACTTGGGGGGCCTGTGGGGAGTGCAGCAGCTGCCCAGGCTCAGTAGCAGGGGGAAGCCCATGGAGCCCCAGCCCAGCCTCCAGTCCTGTGCCTTCCAGCACAGCCTCCTGCAGAGCCGAAGAACTTCCTTTGATGACACGGCCGTTCAATAGGACCAGTGTGCCAGACACCTGGTTTCAGAGCACCCCGAGACTTTCTTCTGCTGCGATCAGCTCAACACAGCCGCAGCGCCGGCCAGCAGGAGGAGTGCAAGCCCACTCCAGACGCCTCACCTGAGTTTGGAAATCCAGGGGCCTGACCAGGGGCCACACACTGCCCGGATCATAGCACCCTCCCCTGCAGAAGTGATCAGGGCCTCCAGACACACAAGGCATCGCTGACTCAAATGCAGAGAGAAGCACCAGGGGCAGGGCAGAAAACGCTCACTTTCGCTCCACACGTGTAGACAGAGCACGAGTCCACACTCCACACACTTCCGTCACGAAAAGCACGGCTGGAGGCGGGGGCTCTGGTTGCTCTGCACCACGCGCCTCAATCTGGGTCTCAGGGCAGCCCGGTTAGCATCCAGGCACCCACCCAGCAAGGCCCCAAGCCTCAGCAGGCCGTGGGGATCCTCCCTGGTTACAGGCAGACGCCCCGCTGCTGGCTCGTGTCTGCAAGCCACAGTGTTCATTTCATTACCTCTTCCAGGAGCAGGGGCCAGCTTTCAGGCCTTTTGGGGACTACTGCCCTCTGAGTGCGCCCCTGTGAGGCGGCCTCCCGTGCCCCAGGGATCCACCCTCGGCGTGGCCCTCAGGCACCTTCTAAGCCGCCTGCTGCTCCACCTCGTCATGGTTCCCAGGCAGCGGGACCAAAGCCCCAGCCTCACTCAGGATTGGAGAGACCCTCGACTTTTCTGACTTTCAAAATAAAGAACCAAACAAGGTGGGTGTGGTGGCTCACGCCTGTAATCCCAGCACTTTGGGAAGCCGAGGCAAGTGGATCACCTGAGGTCAGGAGTGTTCAAGACCAGCCTGGCCAACACGGTGAAACCCCGTCTCTACTAAAAATACAAAAATTAGCCGGGTGTGGTGGCGCACGCCTGTAACCCCAGCTCCTGGGGAGGCTGAGGCAGGAGAATCACTTGAACCCAGGAGGCGGAGCTTGCAGTGAGCAGAGATCACACCACTGCACTCCAGCCTGGGGGACAGAGCAAGACTCCGTCTCAAAAAACAAAGAACAAAACACGTGGTGACGGACGTATCTTTTCGATTCCCTCAGGGCTGACTTATCTTCCTGCCCCCGGCTGATGTGAGGACGAGCTGGAACATTCCTTCTTTTCACGTCTTTCTCCAGCACAGCCTTGATTCACCCACCATACAGGTGTCCCCACTTCCCTGTCCATCCCAGCATAGCACCAGTTTTGGCTCTTCCTGAGGTCCCTGGGCCAGGTACAGGCACCACATCGCCGAGAGTACTCAGACGGGCCGAGGCGCAGACCCAGGCTTGTGCCCCTCCATGGCGCGGCCGGAGCCCTGGGACAGTGGCCATGCCGAGATGTTGCGCCACAGGCCCCGGGTACGGCCTTGTGGTGTTGACATCTCCATACCTAAGGAAACAGGGCATGCTGAGCGGATGTCACACGTTGTCTGCTGGCTCCACGACCTACTGCAGAGCCGCAGGAGCACTGGGAACAGGACACACCAGACCCAAGTCAGAGGGAGAAAGAAACCTGTCCATCTCCCCCACGCACAGCCAAACCGTGGTGAATGTGACTCAACGCGCTTTCTAGCTTCTAAAAAACATGGCAAAGCAGGCACAGAGAGATGCTTCTTTCACTCGATTCTCCGCGTTTGTCTACATGTCTACACATCAAGTCAAAAGCCGACACTGGGTTAACGGTTAAACACTAGTGAGTCATGACACGCCAGCCACTTACACCAGCAGCGCCGTGGCCACAGGCGCGTGACGCCACACACGGGCAAGAGAAGAAGTGCTGCGGCAACTGGAAAGAGGTAGGTGACATCATCATTAGCTGCAGGTGAAAAGCCAAGAGATCCAGCAGGAGTACAGTAAGGTGAACGGGTGAAAATGTCACCTATGAAATCTCTGGCTTCCCTTTAAACAAACAGCCACTTAGAAAATCCAGGGGTAAAAGAGATCCAGGATAGCGTGCAGTGCGGCCAACAGCGGCCTGGGAAACAGACGGGGACGAAGGACCTCGTGAGGTCTGGAGAAGCCAAACACAGTGCCCTCCTGCTGGGCAGGGGAGTCATGTGGACACCTGCGTGTCTGCTGCAGTGTAAAGACAGCAATTCCCAAGTTAATCTATAGTTTCAAGAAGCCCAGTTAGACTAAAAGATAAAAAGCAGGACGAATTTTTTGTTAGAGTCAGATCGGCTGATTCCAACATTCATACAGAAAATAAAACAAAGAAGACTATGCAGAAAATGTATTATTCACAGCCAAGAGGCGGGATGAGAATTAAAATGTTCCAAGAGCCACGAGTCACAGCTCGGTGAGTGTCACCAGGGTGTGCAACGAACACGCAACTAACACACAACTAACATGGTACGGAAGGACAGACCAGCCAATAAAGTAAAACACAGGTCCCAAGTGAGGCCTGAATACACACAAGAATTTAATCTACAATAGTGACACCATTTCCCATCAGTGATGATTATTCAATAAATCATGTCTGACGACTATGGAACCACCTAGAAACAAACTCAGGATACATACTTTGTTTCTTACACCAAAATAAAACACAGGTGGACCAAAGATTTAAATAAAAAAAAAAAAAGTCATTAAAGTATTAGAAAAAATGAGGGAGGAATTATTTTAAAATAATACTGGAGTGCAGAAATTCTAACTATGACTCTTTCTTTCTCTTTCTTTGTTTCCTTTCTTCCTCCCTCCTCCCTTCTTCCTTTCCTTCTTTCTCCTGCTAACTCACAGAACAGACTTTTTTTTTAAGAACGCCCAGTGGACTAAAACACGGGACCTGGCATAGCAGGACATGTGACACCTGATGGGCAGAGGCTGAGCCTCTCATGCCATCTGAAGTTCCTAAAACTCGCCAAGAAACTTCCTCCTCAAGCTATGGCTTAACAGCTGGTATCAAACTGGCCTTCCCATTTAAAACAACGGTGAAAGCTGGATAAAAACAAGAAAAACACCCAACCAAAGACACTGGGAAACAACTCTGTCAGCTCAGACTTGAGAGGTCCAGATCCCAGAGGACAGAGAAGAGCCCTCAGTCACAGAGAGGTTAAGCCTGTTGTCCTTGGAGCCTCATCGATGACTGGGACTAAGCAGACAGGACAAGAGAATGCAACAGCCTAGAGCCTGGGCACACTCACAGGGCTGGGCACCGAGAAGTAAGAATGAGGGTGCCCCAGCAGCCACAACTTGAAGGAGAGAAGGAAACCTCAGAGAAGCATGTCACTCCACATTGTGTGTGCAAAAATCTCCCCCAGAGCACTTGCCAGCTACGAGTTATGCAGAAAGGAGCAAGACGAACGCCAAGCAGAAGATTCCACCAGCTGAGGGTGTCACTGCCCAGCTGAGACCCCAGAAGGGCTGTACCCTGGGAACAAGGCCAACTGGAAACACATTTGCCTCAATGGGACACAGGCCTTCTGCCTATCCCCTGTATGATGGATGGATGACAATGTCACCCAGAACTTCTACGATTTCTCAAACGACATCTGCAAAATACCAGGCACACTAGAAAATAAGACCCCATGACAAAAAAACAAGAAGCCACAAAGAATCAATATAAATATTTTTTTCTTTTTCTTTTTCTTTTTTTTTTTGAGATGGAGGTTCTCGCTCTGTTGCCCAGGCTGGAGTACAGTGGTGTGATCTCAGCTCACTGCAACCTCCACCTCCCGGGTTCAGGTGATTCTCCTGCCTCAGCCTCCCAAAGTGCTGAGATTACAGGCGTGAGCCACCATGCCTGGCTCAGTAACTACTATTTGAAACAACAATAACAATGTCTTGTAGAGTTTTAATTTATTTATTTTTGAGACAGAGTCTCGTTCTGTTGCCCAGGCTGGACTGTAGTGGCACGATCTCGGCTCACCGCAATCTCCGCCTCCCGGGTTCACGCCATTCTCCTGCCTCAGCCTCCCGAGTAGCTGGGACTACAGGTGCCCGTCACCACGCCCAGCTAAGTTTTTTTTGTATTTTTAGTAGAGATGGGGTTTCACAGTGTTAGCCAGGATGGTGTTGATCTCCTGACCTCGTGATCCATCCGCCTCAGCCTCCCAAAGTGCTGGGATTACAGGCGTGAGCCACCACGCCTGGCACTTACGGAGTTTTAAATAAGCGTTGTTATAAACTGCCTAGTATCATCGTTAGAAGGACAGAAATGTACCAACAAGCTAAAAGAAGAGTAAATATTTAAATGTTTGATCCAAAGAAAGAAAAAGCAAAAAACAGAAAAAGGACATATGAGACAAATAATAGGACGTAAGTTGAAAGTTTTCTCCCAAAAATCAGTTATTATATTAACCGTAAATAGTCTTAAATACTCCCATTCACAGACTGAATAACAAGAAGACAAAAGTCAACTGCGTGCTCTTGTAAGAGACACACTGTGAACATAACGGACTATGTAAGAGACACACTGTGAATATAACGGACTAGAGAAATCAAAAGAAAAGGGATGAAACAAACCATCCTGAACAAACCCAAAGCAGAGCTCAGTCAGCTACAAAGCCAACTCGAAGGAGAAAGTATTTCCAACGATAAAAAGGAATATTCAACAAGATAAAAGTCAATTCAAAACGGAGACATAACCAACTTCAATCTGTCTGCTCCTAATAACATGGCTTCAAACTAAAAAGCAAAAAGTGATAGAACTAAAAGGACAAATAAATCTACAATTACAGTAGGAATTATCATACCTTTCTCACAACTCATAAACAAGATGACTAAAAAATCAATAAGGGGCCAGGTGCAGTGGCTCACGTCTGTAATCCCAGCACTTTGGGAGGCTGAGGCAGGTGGATCATTTGAGGTCAGGAGTTTGAGACCAGCCTGGCCAACATGGTAAAACCCCATCTCTACTAAAAATACAAAAATTAGCTGGGTGTGGTGGCGCGCACCTGGAATCCCAGCTACTCAGGAAGCTGAAGCAGGAGAATTGCTTGAACCCAGGAGGCAGAGGTCGCAGTGAGCCGAGATGCTGAAGAAGTGGCTGACACACGTGGACGTGTATTCTAACGTACACTGTAAGAACCTATTTAACCACAACTTGAAGACAGGCAAGATCACTCTAGAATGCTGGCGGACAGATGGGCAGTGATCTTTGGGGTGGGGGTGGATGACAGTGAGGCACCCACGGGGAGTTCTGGGGTGCTGGGATGTCCTATGTCTGCTCTGGATGGTGGTTCCATGTGGTTCACTTTGTAAAAACTTACCAGGTTGAGGCCGGGTGCGGTGGCTCACACCTGTAATCCCAGTACTTTGGGAGGTCGAGGCAGGTGGATCACCTGGGGTCAAGAGTTCAAGACCAATGTGACCAACATGGAGGAACCCCATCTCACTAAAAATACAAAATTAGCCGGGCGTGGTGACGTGTGCCTGTAATCTCAGCTACTCGGGAGACTGAGGCAGGAGAATCACTTGAACCTGGGAGGCGGAGGCTGCAGTGAGCTGAGATTGCACCACTGCACTCCAGCCTGGGCAACAAGAGTGAAACTCTGTCTCAAAAGGAAAAAAAAAAAAAATTATCAATATATGCCAGTAAGAAAAAGCTCAACAACTCCCTAAAAAGTGAGCAAAGAACCCAGGCAGTTCACAGAAAAAGAAACACAAGTGGCTTCTAAACCCACAAAAAGACGCTCAAGCTCCCGCCAGAGAGGCCAAGAATGATGAAGCCTGGAAGGTCCTGGGTGCGGGGACAGAAGCCTTGGGCCTGGCTGGGAGTGACGCTGCAGGCAATTTGGGTAGAGCCAGCACGTTTACAAATGCTCACACCCCTGACACAGGATTCCACTTCTAGAAGGCTTCCTACAGACGCACGCTCAAACACGTCGACATGCTCACAAACACATATTCAGCTCGATTTTGTCTGCAATAGCAGAAGACTGGAGAGGTAAGTCCTTCGGAGACTGGGATTATGGAATTTTTCTACCACGGAATACCATGAAATGGCTAAAAATAGCCAGGCAGTTCTGTGCCCACGGCTGTGGGGCAACCTGACCTGCACGGGATTTTGAGAAAAGCAGCAGGAAGCTGTGTTACAATTAAAGAAAAACGCACATGCGCGCGCACAGACCGCCGCATGAGTGGACGTGCACAGATTGCCACACGAGGGTCACACCAGGAACAACAGCAGGTGGTGGCCTCGGGGGTGGGCAGCTGGGGAGGGGACTCAGAGTTGGCAGCAGATCCATGGACAAGCAGTCACTGCAGAAACACCACGGGGAAAGAGCTTACGACCCAGCACAGTCGGCCTCAGGAAAACCTGATGCACAGCTGGAGCAGGCCAGTGTGGCCCTGCTGGGCAAAGACCGTGCGTCCTGGTGAACCCAGGGTTCCCCAGGCTGACTGGACCAAGTCCCTTTTGTGGGTTTTCAGTTTCTTGACAGAACCCATCTGAAAACGCTGAACCAGGGGCTTCCATTCCGACTCCACCTCGCCCCAGACCAGACCAATCAGCCGTGGTCCAGGCCAGCCCTCGAGCGGTACGCACCTGGGAGGAAAGCGCGTTCTTGTGGATTTTCTTGTAGATCAGTGCCGGGCAGATGAAGCAGATGAGGCTTCCCATGGTCGCACCCGTGAGGCCCAAGATGGTCTCCACTAGGAAAGAGAAGGGACAGGAAGGGATGAGTGGGAAAGGGCTCCAGCCAGGAGGGGACCTGAGCTTTTTTGCCCAGCACACAGGTGAGCAAGCCAGCATTGAAGGAAAGGCCGTCCAGGCGAGAGCCGGGAGCAGACACGCCCTCTGTGCCCAGAAAGCCTGACAACCGCGGCTGAGTCCTCCAACAGTGCATTTGGGCTCCAGGGTGAATTCTCTGATGGTTCATCTTTAAAGAGTCAAGACACGGCCAGGCGCGGTGGCTCACGCCTGCAATCCCAGCACTTTGGGAGGCAGAGGCGGGCAGATCGCGAGGTCAGGAGATCGAGACCATCCTGGCTAACACGGTGAAACCCCATCTCTACTAAAAATACCAAAAACTTAGCCAGGTGTGGTGGCGGCGCCTGTAGTCCCAGCTACTCGGGAGGCTGAGGCAGGAGAATGGCGGGAACCCAGGACGTGGAGCTTGCAGTGAGCCGAGATCGCACCCCTGCACTCCAGCCTGGGTGGCAGACCAAGACTCCGTCTCAAAAAAAATAAAATACAGAGTCAGACACTAGGGACTTCCTGCCAAAACCAAATGCTGGCTCCTCATGGCACGGCTCCTGCGCAGCCTCTCCTGCCTGCTGCTCCGTGAGTGGCCCTAGGCAGGCAGGACCTACCCGAGGGCAGGTGGAGAAGCCAGGGCCCAGCGTGCGTGCCAGGCTGCAGTCACTGCCAGGAGCCCAGACAGATCACCTCTAGGGCTGTTCCCTGGGGAGAGTGAGTGCGAGTTCCCCTGTGGATCTGATGATAATGAGCTCTGTCTTGTCTGCTAGGGAGCGGGTGCATTTGGGTAACATAAATACGTTCAGGACCTTCAGCGCTTCCCTTGGTAATGCGTCAACAAAATCAGAAGTCAAAAGAATTAACAGGACAGCATGCGCTGTTCTAGAATAGTTGGTTCTACAAATCGAGCCTGTGTCCCAGCACTGCAGTCTCTCTCCACCCAGGTGTCAACGGGTGTCTGCTGTTCCATCAAGCTGCCAGATTATTATTATTATTATTATTTTTTGAGACGGAGTCTCACTCTGTCGCCCAGGCTGGAGTGCAGTGGCGCGATCTCGGCTCACTGCAAACTCCGCCTCCTGGGTTCATGCCATTTTCCTGCCTTAGCCTCCTGAGTAGCTGGGACTATAGGCGCCCACCACCACACCCGGCTGATTTTTTGGTATTTTTAGTAGACATAGGGTTTCACCGTGTTAGCTAGGATGGTCTTGATCTCCTGACCTCGCGATCCACCTGCTTTGGCCTCCCAAAGTACTGGGATTACAGGTGTGAGCCACCGTGCCTGGCGAGCTGCCAGATTTTTTTTTTTTTTTTTTTTTTTTTTGAGACGGAGTTTCTCTCCTGTTGCCCAGCTTGGAGTGCAATGGCGCGATCTCGGCTCGGCTCACAGCAACCTCCTCCTCCCGGGTTCAAGTGATTCTTTTGCCTCAGCCCCCCGACTAGCTGGGATTACAGGCATGCATCACCACGCCCGGCTAATTTTGTATTTTTGGTAGAGACGGGGTTTCTCCATGTGGGTCAGGCTGGTCTTGAACTCCCAACCTCAGGTGATACGCCCACCTCAACCTCCCAAAGTGCTGGGATTACAAGCGTGAGCCACTGCACCCGGCTCAAGCTGCTAGATTTTATCCCCTGCCTTTCTCTGTGGGCCAGAGAAAAAATGACAAAGTCTCTAGACTTTTTTAGGAGACCAGAGAAGACGGCTCATAAGTGGGCAGGTCTTGGTTGATGCCGAAGCCCCCGGGTCCCACTCCCCGGCACTAGAGCAGCCCTCCCGCCTTACCATTGGGGATAAGGATGCCACCGACCATGGTTCCAAACACCACAGAGAGGGTAAGGGCTTTAAACCGGAGAGGGGGCATGTAGCCCCCTGCTGCAAAGGTGCCATCTTTTTGCTGTATAAAAGAAAAACAAAAAGGTTTTGAAAGGACTGATCTCCTCCACCACTCTCCTAGAGCGCAAAGCCTGAAAGGGTTCTGCCAGGCACACCGGGCACATCTCCACGTGAGGCCGGCCGCGCGCTCACCTGGCAGGTGAGCCTGACCAGCACAATCAGATCTGGCTGAGCAACTGGAACGGGAACCTGCAACCCAAACCTACAACACACCAGGAAGGCACGAGGGCTTCTCACCCCAGGCACAGACCGTAAATTTTACAACGTCCTTTTGAAATGTGAGGATCGAGTCCTTCCGTTTTCCTTTTTGCTTTTAGAGCAATACCATGAGAGAGTTTTTTAAGTGCCAGGAAGTATGGAGAGCAGAATACAGGCTGCACAGCGCCGCTCCTGGCAAATGTCTCCAGGCCTCTCCTGGCCCGCAGGTTTCAGGGTGCGGGCACAACCCCCACGCACGCACGCACACACACACGTGGCCGTGTTATCCCACACGCACACGCGCACACACACTCACTCACACACATAGCTTAGCCGTGTTATCCCCACACACACACACTTACACACGCACACACACTCACACAGAAGTGGCGTGTTGCTCCCACACCGCCACATCTGCTTTTTTGCTGGCTGTATTTATCACACACACTTCACACAACACGCACACACACTCACACACGTGGCCGTGTTATCCCACACGCACATGCGCACACACACACACATGTGGCTGTGTTATCCCACACACACGCACACACGCACACGTGGCTGTGTTATCTCCAGCAGATGTGCAACAAGCAGTGAGCAATTTCAAAGTGCAGGAAGAAGAGGTGAGAAGGGCATGATGAGGCATCACCAAATTGCAAGTACCTGTCTTGGCTGCAGGGTGCAGCCAGGCCTCTACTGCTCTGCACCAGGATGCCAGGGCCATTCATTCCAGAGGAGGAGGCAGAGCCAAGGACAGATGGCCTCAGACCCCACCTGCCCCAGGGCCCCTGGCTGTGGTCTCTAGTACAGGACACAGGAGCCAGACCACCTGGCTCAAATCCTTGCTCTGCCACTCACCAGCCCCAGTTGAGTGCCCCTAGGCAAGTGACTTAACCTCCATGCCTCAGTTTCCTCATCTGTCAACAGAAGCATCTCCTCATCCAGCCGTGGTAAGGACCAAATGAGTTAACACACAGGATGGGCTGGCCATGATGACTATCCCTGGACTAGGAAACAACCGCAGAACTTTCTAGAACTACAGTTTTGAAGCATCCCATTTTCAGAATGGACTTTTACACAGAATGGACTGTGGAAGCTTGAGCCAGAATTTCCTATTGGCCTTAGGGCGATAATTTGTATACAGGCCAGGGAGGTTGGGGTTTAGGTCCATCACACAAGAGTCCCGGTCCTAGAAATTTACCTATGACATAGACCCAGAGAAGGGGAGAGGGGACTTTAGCATGAAGACTGTCGTGAGATGGTTATCCACGAGAGGTCAAGGGTGAAGGAGCAACGCACCCAGGCCCCTGCAACAAGTGGAAAAGCCAAGGAAGCAGAGCCCCTGCAGGCTTGTAGGGACCGTGGAGAAACGCTCACGGCACATCGGCCGAAGACAAGAAAGCAGGTGGCATGGCCACGGCCACACCTCCAGGAAAGAAGCCAGGGGCACTGACAGAGGAAACACAGCCAGGTCCTCCTTGGGATGAAGGGGTGTGCGTGAGCTTTCCTACTCGAGTCACAATACCTTTAATGCCACTATCAATTTTTTAACAAGATAAAAATGGGTCATGTACGGAAATACAAATGCTGCTCAGATACAAAACATCAAACAGTGAAAGCTGGCCTGGCCAGACGCATGGGGGGACCCCACGGCCAGATGACAGGCTCTGGCCTCGCCTCCTCGATCCTGCCTCGCCCGTGCCCAGGTGCCTGAACTCTGCAGGAGAGGAGCACCAGCACGTGCGGGAGGCGCTCAGTCCTTGGTGCCTGGCCTCTGCTGTGAAGCCAGAGGCATGTGGCTGGTGGAAGTCTGACATGACTGCCACCAGGCTGTGGTGACCGTGCACCCGGCCACATGGACAGTGAGCCCGTGCTGCTGTTCCCAAGGCCCAAGGAGACCCACCGCCCCCACTGTGACTGCTGGACTCTCCCCTGGATTCTCCGAGACCATTCAACCCGCCTTGGCTGAAACAGTTCAAGAGAAATGTGTGCTTCTAGCCACTGGGAGTCCCAGCTGACGGGACATACCAGGCTCACAGATCTCAGGCTGTGGGACAGAAGACGGATGGGCCACCAGGCGGAGCTCCCAAGGGGAGGCAGGAGGGGAACCTGGATGAGGCAGGGCTCCTCCAACACGGCAGAGCGGCGTCTGCACCCCCGTGCTTGGGGCACAAGACAGCACAGCATGCCTTTCATGGTTATCTCTGCCACAAGGAGAGAACCAGGACAGCCTTCTAGTTTCAACTCCTACAGGTGAAAATTTCTTATAAAGAACTAAGCGGCTGCCTTGCCTACACACATTACCGTGAAAAAACCCAGCCTCACTTTTTATTTTTCCTTCTTTCTCTTTTAGAAACAGGGTCTCACTTTGTAGTCCAGGCTGGAGCATGGTGGAGCGGTCATGGCCCACTACAGCCTTGAATTCTTCGTTCACGTGATCCTCCTGCCTCAGCCTCCCGAGTCGCTGGGACTACAGGCATGCGCTGCCACGCCCGGCTGATTTTTGTTAATTTTTTGTTTGTTTGTTTGTTTGTTTTTTGAGACGGAGTCTCGCTCTGTCGCCCAGGCTGGAGTGCAGTGGCGCAATCTCGGCTCACTGCAAGCTCCGCCTCCCGGGTTCACGCCATTCTCCTACCTCAGCCTCCCGAGTAGCTGGGACTACAGGCGCCCGCCAGTGCGCCCGGCTAATTTTTTTCTATTTTTTAGTAGAGACGGGGTTTCACCATGGTCTCGATCTCTTGACCTTGTGATCCGCCCGCCTCGGCCTTTGTTAATTTTTTGTAAAGATGGAGTCAAGCGATGTTGCCCAGGCTGGTTTCAAACTCCTGGGCCTAAGCCATCCTCCCACCTCGCCCTCCCAAAGGGCTGGGATTACAGGTGTGAGCCACCATACCCAGCCTATTTTAAAAATGTGTTTAAAGACAGGGTCTTGCTCTATTGCCCCAGCTGGAGTATAGTGACGCAATCACACTTGACCTCAACCTTCTGGACTCACGCAATCCTCTCGCCTCGGCCTCCCGGACTCACGCAATCCTCTCGCCTCGGCCTCCCGGACTCACGCAATCCTCTCTATTTTTAGTAGAGACGGTTTCCACCATGGTCTCGATCTCTTGACCTTGTGATCCGCCCGCCTCGGCCTTGTTAATTTTTGTAAAGATGGAGTCAAGCGATGTTGCCCAGGCTGGTTTCAAACTCCTGGGCCTAAGCCATCCTCCCACCTCGCCCTCCCAAAGGGCTGGGATTACAGGTGTGAGCCACCATACCCAGCCTATTTTAAAAATGTGTTTAAAGACAGGGTCTTGCTCTATTGCCCCAGCTGGAGTATAGTGACGCAATCACACTTGACTCCTCAACCTTCTGACTCACGCAATCCTCTCGCCTCGGCCTCCCGGACTCACGCAATCCTCTCGCCGGGGCCTCCCGGACTCACGCACCCTCTCGCCGGCCTCCCGACTCACGCAACTCTCGCCTCGGCCTCCCGACTCATGCAATCCTCTTGCCTCAGCCTCCCAAGGAGCTGGGACCACAGGCACCACCACTATGGCCTGCGTCAAACTCAGCCTCTCTTACGGTTCAAAAATCTTCTGCTATATTGTTAAAATTTTTCAAAGTTACACAAAAGTAAAGAGAACTGTGCAGTGAACGCCATGTGCCCATCTCCAGAGTCTGGCCATTATCAGCTCCTGCCCATCAATCTGGTTCCTCTAGGCTCCCCCAACTTCCACCCTCCCAGGACTCCTCTGATGCAAATCCCCACTTTCCTGCTACATCTCTGGTTCGGGACAGCTGGGGGCTTGTGGGAAGCAAGGCTGACCTGTGCTATTACGATCTGGAGAGCGCCCTGAGGGTCTTACCTGCTGCTCACACAGCAGCGTGCTCAGGGCCTGCCGGCAGGGCAGGATCATCATGGGGAAGCCCACGGCCACCGACATCATGAAGCCCACACGGAGCATCTCCGTCACCAGGTTGGAGGGAAAGTGCATGAGCACGTTGCCAGCCGTGGCCTCGGTGAAGCTCACGTAGCCGAAAAATCCCACCTGTTGGAGAATGAGAAATGGCAATGTGGCAGACGGACATCCTAGTCTGAGTGGCACCTGTTGCAGTGGGCAGGGCATGGGGGGGACCTGTGCCCTGCCCCTCAGAATGGCCTTCAATCCACTTCACAATGAAGCTTCTGCAAGAGACGGCCTTCAGGGGCAAAGCACCATTTGGCCGCCTCCTTCTTAAAATCTCCAGTTTCTGTAAGAAACATGCCCACTTCTTTTTCTTTTTTTGAGACGTTTTGTCTCGCACTGTCGCCCAGGCTGGAGTGCAGTGGCGCGATCTCGGCTCACTGCAAGCTCCGCCTCCCGGGTTCACACTATTCTCCTGCCTCAGCCTCCCAAGTAGCCAGGACTACAGGCGCCCGCCACCACGCCCGGCTAATTTTTTGGTATTTTTAGTAGAGACGGGGTTTCACTGTATTAGCCAGGATGGTCTCGATCTCCTGACCTCGTGATCTGCCCGCCTCGGCCTCCCAAAGTGCTGGGATTACAGGTGTGAGTCACCATGCCTGGCTTTTTTTTTTTTTTTTAGATGGAGTCTGACTCTCTGGCGCCCAGGCGGGAGTGGAGTAGTGCAATCTCGGACTCAGTGTACCTCCGCCTCCCAGGTCCTGGCTCCGGGATTTGTCCTCCTCGGGCCCCCAAAGTGCTGGGATTAACGGTGAGAGACCCCGTGCCCGGCTTTTTTTTTTTTTTTGAGATGGAGTCTGGCTCTGTCGCCCAGGCTGGAGTGCAGTGGCCGGATCTCAGCTCACTGCAAGCTCCGCCTCCCGGGTTTACGCCATTCTCCTGCCTCAGCCTCCCGAGTAGCTGGGACTACAGGCGCCCGCCACCTCGCCCGGCTAGTTTTTTGTATTTTTTCAGTAGAGACGGGGTTTCACCGTGTTAGCCAGGATAGTCTCGATCTTCTGACCTCGTGATCCGCCCATCTCGGCCTCCCAAAGTGCTGGGATTACACGCTTGAGCCACCGCGCCCGGCCGGCTTTTTTTTTTTTTTGAGACGGGGTCACCCTCTGAAGCCCAGGCTGGAGTGCAGTAGTGCAATCTCGGACTCAGTGTACCTCCGCCTCCCAGGTCCTGGTTCAAGCAATTCTCCTGCCTCAGCCTTCCGAGTAGCTGGGTTTACACACATGCACCACCATGCCCAGCTAATTTTTGTATTTTTAGTAGAGACGGGGTTTCACCATGTTGGCCAGGCTGGTCTTGATCTCCTGACCTCGTGATCTGCCCGCCTTGGCCTCCCAAAGTGCTGGGATTACAGGCGTGAGCAACTGCGCCCGGCCGAAATATGCCCATTTCTAGAGAGAATTAACAGAGGTCTTGCAGAGACGGTAAGAGTGGCTCGGATAAAGTGCCCTGGGAGCAGCCCTGGTGCCCGGCTCCTCAGGTCAGGAGAGCTTCCTGGCCCAGGGTGGACCCACGCTCACAGGGCTGGTCCTGGAATCATGGAAGCTGATGGAGCTGCCCCAGGTCCCCGCGCAGCCTCCAGACACTGGGATGAGAACGAGAGAAGAATCTGGCAGCACACAGGGCTGGGGCCATGCCCGCGGCAGTCCCAGGGTCACCGCAGCATGTCATGCTGGCATGACACAGGTGTGGAGGGGGCATGGCAAGGCTCTTACCATGACGTAGAAGGTGGTGACCACATTGAGGGAGGAGGCAAATATGGAGCTCATGGTTTTCACCGACGGCTCATCCAGGCTGTCGTACGTGGGTAGCACCTGGCTGTATAGAAACAGGCCATTTCACAGCAGACCCGAGAGAGGCACGCCCTCCCCAGCGGCACCACTTGCAGGAACTCTCTGCAGCCCAGTCGAGAGCCTCTGACCTTCCTTCATGCAACATTCTCCACACACTGAAGTCCCAGCGCTGAGGCCAGGATTTCATGATGCTGAGGACGGGAGCGCTACAGCAGTCCCCACTCAGGACACCCCCCAGAGTGTGCGCCACACGAACGTTCCCCAAGGCTAGGACGACAGGCTGCTGCTCCACGCCAGGGAGCGGGCGCAGAGAGTCAAAGCAGCCAGTTTACAGGGGAAGCAGCCGGAGGAGGCTGCTCAGAGAATCGCTGTCAAAAGGAGAGAAAGTTAAACAAACACCCTGGCCCGGGCGGCCGGCCCATCTCAGCACCGCCATCTCCGCGCCTCCGCACAGCAATGATCAGAGTCGGCACAGACAAGGAGACGGCCTGGGGCGCGATTCCCCGCTGCAGCCTCTCACTTGTGTGATGAGAAAACTGGCTTCCGTCCCGCGGCCTAGTGCCAGGAGTGTGGTGCTGCTGGGAGTGGGAGGGACCCAAGCCACCGGCCAGGCAAGGACATGACAGCCCTGAACAGGCAGCAGACCCATCTGAGGGATGTGCACAGGGACCTGAGCCCCTGGAGAGGAGTGGGCAACACAGGAAGGGAGAGGCTGGGGCCATGGAGCATCTGTGTGCAGCCGGGGAGAAGGGAGCTAGGCCAGGTACACGCCAGAGCACGCTGAGAGCCACTCTGCCATGGGACTGAACAAGGACTCTGTAGTGGGAGTCCAGGCGGGTGCTCCTAGGGTGTCCAGGTGGCCATGGCCATGGCTGTCCCAAGGCAGGGGCTCAAGGGCACAAAGGAAGCTGGGTGGGCCAGGGGCAGGGCGGGATGCAGAGAGCCAGCAGCCAGTAAATGGACCAGCATAGCGGCCAGCGGAGCCAAATCCCAAAGGTTGCCTTGAAGAAAGTGAAAGAAAAATAGGACGTCCTGACTTTATTAACAATCAAACCAGGCCAGGCACAGTGGCCAATGCCTGAATACTAGCACTTTGGAAGGCCGAGGCAGGAGGATCACTGGAGCCCGGGAAGTCGAGGCTGCAGTGAGCGGTGATCGCATCACTGTACTCCAGCTTGGGTGACACAGCAGGACACCAACTCCAAAAAAAGGAAAAGAAAACCCAGCAGACTGACAAGGACAAGTGAGAAGGCCCTGCCAGCGGCTGCCGGTGCCCTGCTGCCCAGGTCCTAGCACAGCATCCCATCAGGCTGCCCTCATCATGGAGTGCCATCAACAGCAGTCAGGGGGCCCCACAGGACATGAGCCTTCCCCTCAGCCCAGGCTACAAGGGAGCTAAGTGGCCAGTGCCTGTGCACACAGCCCCAGGAGGCCGGTAGAGAAACAGGAAAAACACAAGAGGTCTCCACGGCCCCAGACCCACAGCCTCAGGACCTCCCAGTGCTCAACTGTCCTCTGGCTGGAGCTGAGTCCACACCAGGGAGTCTCGGCTTGAGGGGACCAGCGTTGGTGCCCCATGGCACGTGCTTACCCCCATCCCCCAATACACACTGTGGGGAGTGACCCCCAAGGAAGCCACGGACACTGTGGGAAGGGGTGTCCCACGCACATGGGGTGGCCAGGGTGGAAGGCCAAGCCCCAGGCTCCTCTCCAATCCTGACCACCTACCCCAGGGACCCCCGGGATCATCCCTGGAAAGAAACAAGGTAGGAGCCACAAAGCCTCCCGGCCACCTGCAAAGGAGTTCCACAGACTGGGGACGTCCTGAGCGCTGGCCCACGGCCCCAGACAGAGCATCCCTGGCCCGCCCACCTCGCAAGGCAGCCTCTGAGGCCCAGGGCCTCCCGGAGTCAAGTAGAGCTCTTGGGTGTATGGCCCTCTGCCCCGCTGTGAGGATGGAGACCCCAGTTTCCAGACAGACCCTGCCCTCCAGGGCCTCCTGGGCTCAGTGCTGCCCCGGCTGCTTCTCTGGGCCTAGGACAACCGTTCTGCATAACCAGGTATGGATTTACCAGAAACGGCCAGATAGTGAAGGCACAGGGAAGGCCTGGTCCCAGCTGGCATCCAGGCCAATCACACAGGCAGGGGGCGCGGCCGGCCACCCCAGCAGGGACAGGCAGTCTGGCGTAGTGATGCTGTGGGAGGGAAGAGATGTCTCTGCTCTCAGCAAACATTCCCGGGCTCAGGGGTGGGGAGGTCAGCGCGGCGGCCAGCACAGGGAGGGATGTCCCTGCTTGGGAGAATGTCAGGTGAATCTGTGGGCCCACACGTCCTCGGGGAGGGGCAGAAGGAAAGCTGCACTTGGTGAGCCACACGCTCCAGCGCTTCAGAACCCGGCACCTGACCTCGGAACCAGACCCGAACGACGTGCACTGGCTGCTACGTGGCCACCACCAAAAAACCCCAGCTGCAGATTTATTTCTAAACATGCAAACACGCAGACACAAAGGGCAACTGGTAACTAGGTACGCGGCGGAAGAATGAGGCTTCTGTCACCGATGATAATGGGATATTAAACAGCAAGACTGGGGCGCGTTCTGGTGGAGACGGAGCTGCCAAGAGAGACGCTAAGTGGGAAATGACGATTTGGATCTCGCATGTGGGTGTAAACACAGCGGCATGAACAAATTTCTTCTGTCACATTAGTTTACGATTGGCTCAATGCATGCCCACTAACGCTACGGGGCCGCTCTGCCAGCCCCCCGCACACCGATGGTCTTTTCCCGTCCGCGCCGGATTTACGCCTCTCTTTTCAGCCGGTTGCCATGTTCCAACCGGGCATGAATCACTCGCTCTTGTCATTTTGGTGGAGAAGGTAATGCTACTGGAATTATGGAAGAGCCCGACCCGCATTTACAGAGCTCTGCGTGCCAGAGAGAAAGCAGGCTTGCGCGTACACGCAGGCCTCCAAATGCATCCAGCAGCCGTCTGAAGTCAATGTTTGTGCAATTTCCTTTTAAATATTCTCAGAACAGCTAAATTCTGGCAAAACGCTCAGGACTCTGTGCAGTCAGATGGCTGGGCTGTTGCTGCATCCCCCACAGCCAACGCTCTGCTTGTGGGGATCTGGCAAAGCAGGGACTCTCACCAGCTAGTCCCAAACATGTCCCAGGAATAAAGCCGATTTACCTCCCAGTTAAAATACAACTATCTCCCTCAACCTGTGGGGGAAAGGTCATCACTGAACAAGACATCACTCTTCAGCAGCCAGCAAAGAGGGATCACAGTAAACGAGAAAGACAGAGGGTCCCATCTCCCAGCAGCTCGCCCTCCTCCATCACAGAGCCCACCTCCACCACGGGCCACAGCAGGACACTTACGACTGGCAGGCGAAGGACATGCCGAAGATCGGGATGCAGCGGAAGACGCCCTCCCAGCGGACATAGCTGACCCGCTGCAGCCACTGCCCACTGAAGAGGCCGTGCTTGAGAGAGGAGAGCACAATCTGCAGGGGTAGCGGGGAGAGAGCACGGGGCAGGTCAGGACACAGGCAGGACTCAGCATCCTGGCCCACACGCCGCTGGGAAGGAGTGGCAGGACAGTGCAACTCTTCCCACCCACATCCCAGCCCCCCACCACCCTGTGCTGCCAGTTGGAGGCACGGAGACCCCACGCCTTTCTGGATTCCCAGTCCCTGCCTCAGAGCACCCTGGTTCATCCTGCAGGCACCAGAGCAGCTGCTCTTGCAAAGGGGCTGCTTGGCGCAGACAGGAGGAGACCACTGAGAGTACACGGCCCCATTGGTTACAGAGGTCGGTTTCCCACGTGGGCACGTCCCACCCCATCCTGTACTGTGCTAGACACGGACATCTTCCAGAAAACTGGCCCACCAAAGACGCGGCTATCTCAAGAGTAAAGAGGTAGCTGCCACCGGGCTGGCCCTCACTCGGAGAGCTGAGGAGCACTGGAGACCCTGGCTTCAATGACCACCTGCCCTCATCCTGGCGCAAACCCGCTGTGAGACACCAGATTCCAGCTGCTCAGCAAGGGTCATTTCTGACTTTGCCAGGGAACAGGCAGGTCCCAGGGGCTTAGGTCCTAAGGCTCCTAAGGGCAGGGGCCTGGCAGAGAATGGAGGGTGTGCTGGGGGCTGTGGGTGGTATCCGTGTTCTCAGTGCCAACTCCACAGCTGGCCCCGGTCCATCCTGTTATAAATTGTCACTTAGAAAAATAATAGTGGCCAGGCGCGGTGGCTCACGCCTGTAATCCCAGCACTTTGGGAGGCCGAGGCAGGTGGATAACAAGGTCAGAAGTTCAAGACCAGCCTGGCCAAGATGGTGAAACCCCTTCTCTACTAAAAATAAAAAAAATTAGCCGGGCGTGGTGGCAGGTGCCTGTAATCCCCCCTACTTGGGAGGCTGAGGCAGGAGAATTACTTGAACCTGGAAGATGGAGGTTGCAGTGAGCCGAGATTGCACCACTGCACTCCAGCCTGGGCGACAGACTGAGACTCCATCTCAAAAAAACAAACCAAAAAAACCACATAGCTTGCCACCCTGTGTCAAAACACTGGCATTGGGCCTGGTGCCGTAGCTCACACCTGTAATCCCAGCACTTTGGGAGGCTGAGGCGGGTGGATCACGAGGTCAGGAGATCGAGACCAGCCTGGCTAATACGACGAAATCCCATCTCTACTAAAAAATACAAAAAATTAGCCGGGTGTGGTGGTGGGCGCCTGTAGTCCCAGCTATTTGGGAGGCTGAGGCAGGAGAATGGTGTGAACCTGGGAGGCAGAGCTTAAAGTAAGCAGAGATCGTGCCACTGCACTCCAGCTTGGGCAACAGAGCGAGACTCATCAAAAAAAAAAAAAAAAACACTGGTGCCATAAGCCTCGGTCACAAACTACATAAGACACCTTTGCATAAAGCAAGTGGACTTGGCGTTTCCTTCCCCTTGCCTGGACGACATGAAACCAGCCTCAGAGCCACCCCTGTCCTGAGCCCCAGCCTCTCCTGTTGGCCAACCACACCTAGGTCCAGCCAGCCCCGTCTGCCCAGTGGTGCCCAGGGACCGTGAAATGAATGGCACTTCCTGGCACATCCTGCTAATTCCAACACATTCCCAGGAGGTAGCAGGTGGCCACACCAGACTGGGCATGAGCCTGCTGTGGCCACAGGAAAGACTGGGCCAGAAGCAGCCTTTCAGCAGGTGCCTGCACGCACCGCAGACTCACCACGAACATGAACACGGTGTAGAAGAGGAGGGCCATGGCGCTGAAGGACTGGATGGAGGCCATCATGTTCCGCTGCAGGCTGAGCGGGAGCACAATGCACAGTGACACGGCGAACAGCAGGAACATGCGGAAGGTGCCGCCCACCTGCAGGGAGCCAGCAGGGGTCTTGGCCACAGCCCAGACCTGCTCACCACCTGGCTCTCTGCACTGCCAGGGAGCGGGAGCATCCTGAGCCCGAAAGCTGACGGCATCTAGGTGAACAACGCTGGCAGGTCTGAGGCTGGTACGCTCGCCTGGAAGCCACTCTCACAGCCACTATGCTGTGTGCAGCCTCGGACACTGGGCATTTCCCTTCCCTGGAGCCCAGCCCAGCCCCAGAGCAAGAACAGCCAGAGCAAAAGGACAGCAGCCCCCATAACACAGGAGGCAACACAGCAGCTACGGGTCAGACTCAGCTGCCCTGGGCACAGGGCGGGAAAGGTACAGACTGCCCTATGGGCAGGACAGGCCCAAAGCTCTATCTACAAAGGTCACTGAGAAGCACGGAAAACAGGTCGAATGCGGAGACAGAGTAGAGGGCCTAGCTCCCTGGAAGCTCCTTGGATCTGTCTCTGACAAGGAGCAAATCTGGTACATTCCACTCCTGGAGAGGACACCCCCGCCTCAGCTGTGGCCTTTGAAAGCCTTTCTATGCTGTTAGCACCCTAACATGCCATGATGCTCGCCCTGCCCAGTGAGGGGCTCTGCTCCCCGCCAGCGAGGGAAAGGTGTGTGGGCCTGTCAGGTGGGCCTCTACATGGCGGGGCCAAGCACGGAAGAGGCTACCCCAAGGTACCTGCAAGAAGTGCTGAGTCCACAGCCCCCGGCAGCAGTGCCTCCAGATCCACCCAGCAGCTCTAGGTGACCATGGAGGCTGGGGATGCCCAAGGGCCTGGCCGCCTGTGCCCTCCAACGGGCAGCCCAGGTTGACAGACACTTACTCTTTACTGTGCCCGGGTCTGAGGCTCCCCGACCTGCCCCTCATCTACATGGTGTCAGACTCTGCCTGGCTTGTTTCCTCCCCTGTACCTCTCACAGACGTGACCCAGCAAAGCCCCCGCACTCCGCCAAGCCCCTGGAATGACAGCAGCCTCAACAGAAGCTTCTCCCGACCAGCATCCTGGTCTCGGTCCTCAGGAGGATCCCATGGAGGTCCTCAGAGCAGCCGTCAGCATCTGAACAACCCAGAACCCTGAACACGTCCTTACCTGAAACCCGAACAGCCGGGCAAAGAAGTTGGACCCCAAGTCGCCAATCACGACGTAGAAGGCGATGCAGGTGCCCAGCATCAGCCCGATCATGCTGCGGGGGGATGGGGGGTGCAGGAAACGCCATCAGGGCGAGCTGGCAAAGCACGTGGCAGCCTCCTGGGACCACCCCAAGGCTGGACTGAATGACAGATGTGGTCTCTTTTTTTTTTTTTTTGAGACGGAGTCTCGCTCTGTCGCCCAGGCTGGAGTGCAGTGGCGCAATCTCAGCTCACTGCAAGCTCCGCCTTCTGGGTTCCCACCATTCTCCTGCCTCAGCCTCCCGAGTAGCTGGGACTACAGGCGCCGCCACCTCGCCCGGCTAATTTTTTGTACGTTTTAGTAGAGACGGGGCTTCACTGTGTTAGCCAGGATGGTCTCGATCTCCTGACCTCGTGATCCGCCCACCTCGGGCTCCCAAAGTGCTGGGATTACAGGTGTGAGCCCCCGCGCCTGGCCAACAGATGTGATTTCAAACGCGCCTCAGTTCACAGGGTATGGGCAGGTTCTGTGGCGCTCACTATGTCACTTGGAATGCACACTGAGCGACACCCAGCTTTTCTCAATGTGGTATTATACTCGCCTCTCCGCAGAGGCTCTAACAGTTACAAAAATGCTCCATGATGGCCCCAGCACAGTGGCTCACGCCTGTAATCTCAGCACTTTGGGAGGCCGAGGCAGGCGGATCACCTGAGATCAGGAGTTTCAAAACCAGCCTGGCCGACATGGCAAAACCCTGTCTCTACTAAAAATACAAAAATTAGCTGGGCGTAGTGGCGGGTGCTTGTAATCCCAGCTACTTGGGAGGCTGAGGCAGGAGAATCGCTTGAACCCAGGAGGCTGCAATGAGCTGAGATCGCGCCACTGCACTCAAGCCTGGGCGACAGAGCAAAACTCCACCTCAAAAAATTTTAAAAAAAAGGCCCCACGATGCTTGTCAGGTTAACAGAACAATCAACTGCTTTCAAAAAAGGCTGTTCTTTGGAGTTTACAATTCCCTAATTTAGAAGCCTAAAAGTGCAATCTCCTGGCAATTTTTTCATCTCATAATTTTTTTCATCTCATGAAATTTTATTCCAAAGGAAGAACAATATGACATTTGCAATGCAATGGCACCTTTATGCAGCAGTGGGGGGGGGGGGGGTGCGGCATGAAGGAATGGTGTTGAGAGATTAAAGCTGAGGGAGGGCTGTTTTCCAAGTTCTTGGAGTTTTCCATATTTAAATTTTTATTACAACACTGAAGGGTACAAGTAATTGGACTTTCGTGTATTTAGTGACTCTTCAGAAACCTAAGTTACAGGTGAATCCGGGAATGAAACTGCTGCTCCCGCCGGGAGGGTCCCCAGGGTCTGGGTGCGGGGGTCGGGGGGACAAACACAAGGGCAGGGCGGGGCTTACCTGGTCTCCACCAGCATCTTGCCCGCCTTCCCGTAGGCGTGGAATGCTAGCACAAAAGAAAAGAAAGGAACACTCAATCCAACAGTGTGAGAAGCACATCCAGAACAAAGGTACTGAGCAAAGCTGTCCAGGGCAATTTCACAGAAACCCGTGGGTCCAGATTCTCCGGGGCAGGAGGGGTGTTTCCAATTCTGACCACCAGGTTATTTTTGGATCTACTGTCTGCAAATGAAACTACAAGAAACAAAGACAGAGCAAGGGAAGGACAGGAGGCAGGTTCTTCTTTCACTCAATCAGGTTTTTTAAAAGACAGAGAGACAAGTCCCTGCAACGCACAGTCCTCCCACCCGGTGACCACTGGGGGCCCGCTGGAAACAGCATCCCACAGCCCGGCATGGCCGAACCCCGTGCTGTTGGCCAGAGCCTGCAGGTCCCCAGAGGGGTCAGCGCCGGCCCCAGGTGCCCGAGCACCACAGCCTGCGTCGGAGGGACTCTGAGGAAGGGCTTTCATTTTCACCCTTTGGTTGGGATTTACAGAAACAAACGAAGACCCCTTTCAAGCATGGTGCTTCAGGAAGGGACGGGACGAGAGCCCCGGGCTTGTGGTGTCCACGTGGACAGCCAATGAGGAGCCTTGCCAATAAGGAGCATGCGTCCCCGTCCCCGACGTCCCCATTCAGCCGTCCGGCCGAACGCGGGAGGAGCCGCCATTCTCTTGCCCTGACAGCGGGATTCTCTGCAGCAGATGAGAAACAGGGCTGATTCAGCAGGGTCCCTCCCAGGCCCCAGGCGGTCACCTGGTGACCCCTGTGCTTCCCTGGCCTGGTGGAGGAGGGCAAAGGGAAGTCCCGGCTCCAAGGCACACCCAGAGATGGGTGCATGTGACAGGATGGCCCAGCCCCGTCGGCAGCCCCGGCTTCCTGCCCCCAGTTTCCTCCCTCGCACGGGCTACAGGCTTCTGATGAGCTTTGGAAAGCAGGAAACACACAGGCCAGTAAATATGAATGAGTCCAAAAAACACTCATTACTTTAAACTACTTAGGAAGAAGCACAGCATTGCCGAACGCCAGAGCCTGGGAGCAGCAAAGACCCCGCCTCCAGGGCTCACCCTGGCCTTTCCTGGACCTGCCTGCCGGCTCCCTGAAGGAGCCTGGCACCCCTTGAGTTCATCCCACAACGTGGGAACCGGGGCCAGGCCCCAGAAGGTGACCTCCGGCTGCGGAGAATTTCAAACACTAAGAACTCCAGAAGCCTCCTCAGCAGCAGCCCACAGACCAGGGCCCTGCTGTCACCAGAAAATGCCCTCCACACCCCTCGGTGACGGCACAGCCCGGACACAACAAAACCCCACGCTCCAAACGTGGCGGTGCTCCTGGCCATAACGTGCCTTTTCATTCTCCAAAAGGAAGCTGAGTCTCCACAGCGTATTCCAAACACGAGCGCACCTTGCCCAAGATGGTTCCAGAACATGGCTGCCGCTGGCAAGGGAAAATGGAAGGCCGTCTAGGAAATCAGGGCGGCACTCTCCTCCGGTTTCCAGGACAACGTCCTGAGAGCCCACCATGCTGAGACACGGCCCCGCGCCTTCTTTTCCCCACGGGGCCAAACCCTCGCTCACCATTCCCAGTGTCAATCCCTCGGCAACTTCTCCCCAGCTTCAAACACCAGCCCCAGTCGGACCCCACTCCTTCGCATCCTGCCTGGACTGGCACAGGGAAAGAGAGGAAGAGGCTGACGCACCCAGCAAGGTCCCGGGGACCCGGCCCTCCCCCAAGTGTGGACTCCCAGTGCTGGCCCAGCCCCCGCCAGGGTGGAGGTGTTTGTGAGCGGCGAGCTCTGAGGCCGCGGCCTCCATGCAGGGTGTACCCTGCCCTGGGTCCAGTCAGATGTCCCCCAGCGCCGGCACAGAAGCCTGGACCACCCAATGACGGAACACAGGCAGCACCCCTGACACCGCTGCTCACAACCGAGAACTCAGAGGCCGTGTGGGGGCCAAACAGTTGCTGCTGCTGGGGGAGGCGGTTCCTAGCCCAGACCACGCACGCTGGGGTTCAGGCACAACTCTCAACAGGACAGGGTCTGGGGCTCAGAACAGCATCACGAGAAGCCGCGACAGCTGAAGGAGGTTGAATGACTGGTGTATCTGTGTGTCTTCTGAAGAGGGATTTAGAAAAGTCCATGTCCAGGCAAGACACTCAGGGTAAAGGAAGCAGCAAGTGAGCTGATGAAAACGACAAAAACCACCCACAACCAGCAACAGCAAATAGGACAGAGAAATACACAAATGCCAACAAGAAATGACACCTCTCCAGGCTGGCATCTGGCACTGGAGGAGAGCGAGGAGGGTTAAGTGACCAGCGGCCACCTCCCTGGGCTAACCAACCCAAGGAACCATCACGCCGCAAACTCCTGCCTCGGTGGGGACAGATGCCATTCGAAGGAAACCACCCGGCCATCCCAGGGAAAATAAGTCTCTGTGTGCAAGGACGGGACCCAGCCCGGCGCCTCCTGAAGACTGCAGTGTGGAGCTGCTGTCCACTCTGCACGAAGGCCTCGCCTCAGCTCCGGGAGATTCTCATCTTACCCTCCCCAGGGATGCCTTTCCCAGCGCGTGTCTCTCCACTTCTAAGACGAGCCAGGGCAGACTGCGGCTGATGCAGGGCGGCTGGGCCCAGGGGCCTCTGTCCGGAGCTCACGCAGTGGAACCTTCGTGTTTGGTGTCAAAGGCATAACCTGAGACACGCTTGGTGTTTTGAATCTTGTTTGTTTCCGGCAGGCAGACGTGGACCGCGGTCACCCCAGCCAGTTACAGGCTGGAAGCTCAGGTAGGAGCTCCAGGCAGCACAGAAGAGCACCCGCCCGGCAATTTTCTTCCAGTCTTTCACATGCAGCCAAACTGGTTTGACTGTTCGGGGACTTTCAATGAAGAAGACAGCCAGCTATCAGAAATGGGGGCCTCCCCAGCCGTGGATCACTGGTCTTCTTCCAGGACACAGCCAAGTACTTGAGTTGGGGCCTCTGCTACAGAAACCCTGTACAGAGATCTCAGTGGGGAGAAAAGGGTCACCCTGCAGGCCACAGCTCTGCAGACCCAGGAAGGGGCCTGCCCAGGCGCTGTGCCTCCTGGCTGCCAGTTGGCATGTTTCAGCCCAAGTTGAATTAGGCCATCTCACTGTGGATCAAATCTAACGGTGAACTTCACTTCCTCAAATAACAACAAGAAAAGGCTCTGACAGCGCCATTCCCATCAGGAAGGGAAGAGAAGGAACGCATCCCCTCTGGTTCCGAGGGCGGAAACGAACGCAGGACTCTCTCTCTGCGGCAACACGAAGGGGACTGGGGAGAATTGGAGGCTGGGAGGCCAGGACCCCTGTGTGGACCCTGCCGGTGTTTTTATTTTGTTTGGCCCCCTGGACCCCTAAATACCATTTCCTCTCCTTCTGCCTCCTCGCTCTGCCGTGGGAGCTGTGAGCCCAGAGGCAGGATGGCCTTCTGCAGGGAGGACCCGACATCCCAGCCACACACTGGCTGGAGGGCCCAGAGCCTTCATCACAAGGCCGGGAATTTTTACTGGAACCCACAGGGCCAACTCCTGAGAATACGGACGCTGGAATTTCAGCACCCATGCTGGATGCCCCCGGAATGGAATGTGGAGCCGAGAGGTGCCGAGCCTGCAGCGGGCAGGGAGACAGTGTGGGTCACATGGCCCGCAGGCAGATGGGAAGGTGAGGGATGGCACCCTGGAAGACAACGTAGAACGTATTCCACACGGAAATGAGGCAGGAAGCGCAGCCTTCTCTCCTGGCTGAAACAGCATGAAAGCAAGAAAGAACCGAAGGAAACAAAACTGCAACCAACGGCATCAGGGGAAGGACAAAGTCGCTGGGAGAGGAGCCACCGAACCCCAGCAACAGCCTGGGCCCGAGGAGTTTCCTCCACGGAATTCCGAGTTGGGGAGCACAGCAAGGTTCTCTGCAGGCAGCTCCACGGGAAGGCGTCTGGTGTCCAGGAGAGACAGTGAGCCGGCCTGTACCAGCACTGTAAGGACAGCTGTCTCGGCCTGAGTTTAGAAGCGGAAGCTGCATGGGAGCGGGCGGGAGCACAGGATGACAGGGAGGCCTGGTGCCTCATACCCTTCTGTGTCATTCCAATTTTGAAGCACGTGCTTGTAACAGGTTTTTCTAGTTTTTTCAGACAGTCTCACTCTGTCACCAAGGCTCAAGTGCAATGGCATAATCTCAGCTCACTGCAGCCTCTACCTCCCGGGTTCAAGAGATTCTCCAGCCTCAGCCTCCCGAGTAGCTGGAATTACAGGTGCCTGCCACCATGTCTGGCTAATTTTTTGTATTTTTGGTAGACATGGGGTTTCACCATGTTGTCCAGGCTGGTCTCAAACTCCTGACCTCAAATAATCCGCCTGCGTCAGCCTGCCAAAGTGCAGGTACGAGTCACTGCGCCCGGCAGATTTTTTGTTTTAACTGCATTTTTTTAAATTTAATTTTTAATTCTTTCACCCAGGTGGGGGTACAGTGGCGTGGTCACAGCTCACTGACACCTCAGACTCCCAGGCTCAGGTGATCCTCGCACCTCAGCCTCCCAAATAGTAGCTGGGACGACAGGCACATGCAACTACACCCGGCTCATTTTTTTGTAGCATTACATTTTAAAATAAAGGAAAAAAACCCTGCTATCCAAGGAACTGTGGAAGAATAAAGTAGAGAAAATAAATGGAATAAGAAAACAAACAAATAAATGGAAGAAGGCCCCCGCCCCAGGTCCAGAGCCACCTTGTGGAGAGGGTGCCTCACCCAGGCCGGCGTAGGTCCTCCGCTTGCTCAGGCTGGCCGACTTCACCAAGAACATGCACGACTGGTGCGTCATCCAGGAGCAGAAGACCAAGAGCAGCGCCCCCAGGACGATGCCGCACTGCGGGGGGGAGACAGGAACACATGTTCACAGCAGCAGGTGCTCCTCAGAAGCCCTCGCCCCACACACCGAGCTCATGAGCACCCTCTTCACCCGCAGGCCCCGCTCCATCCCAGTCTCCTGCCGAACACGACACTTCCTAGCACCGAAAGGCCCATTTCCTCGGTGTGGTGGCCGCGTGCCTCGTCCAGGGACAAAGTTGCATGCGCAGACCACAGAGGCGCCATCTCCTTCCCAGTCCCCGCCTCAAGTCTTCATGGACAGCTGGGTGCTGCCAACTAATACCCCCTTGTTCTCTGCACATGCCCTATGTGCACCATCTTTAGCCACCTGAGTCCACAGCTACGAGTAATGAACATGTTCTGGAAGGAAGAGATTAACAGTGCCATTTTCCCCGTTCTCATAAGTTAAACAGACACTTACTGTGTGACCCGGGGATTAACTGTCCCCCTAGGTATTCACTTACCCAAGAGGAATGAAAACGTGTTCATGAAAAACCTGTATGCCAATGTTTACAGCACGTTTATCCACAACCCAAAAATGGAAAAACAGCCCAAATGTCCTTCAACAAGCGAATGGATACAAACTGTGGTCCATTCAAATAAGGGAATATTAGTCAGCAGGAAAAAGGGATGACTACAGACACCCACTGTGACGCGGATGGGACTTGAACGCACCATGCTGAGCAGAGGCAGCTGGACTCTGAATGCTACAAATAGTGTCATTCTGTTTACAGGAAGTTCAGAAAAGGTAAACTTTTAGGCCACTAAAAGTTTAGTGGCCTATAGGTCAGTGTTGCCAGGGGCTGGGGGTATGGAGATTGGCTGGTGACAAAGGGGTACGTGGGGACCCTCTGGGAGATGGAGCTGTGTTCTATGTTTGATTGTGGTGGTTACACAGCAAGCCCGTAACCTACACCCTGAAGAGACTCAATCGGCCGGGCGCGGTGGCTCATACCTATAATCCCAGCACTTTGGGAGGTTGAGGTGGGCAGATCACGAGGTCAGGAGATCGAGACCAGCCTGGCCAACATGGTGAAATCCCATCACTACTAAAAATACAAAAATTAGCTGGGCGTGGTGGTGCACACCTGTAATCCCAGCTACTTGGGAGGCTGTGGCAGGAGAATCACTTGAACCAGGGAGTCAAAGGTTGCAGTTCAGCTGAGATTGTGCCACTGCACTCCAGGCTGGCGACAGAGCAAGACTCTGTCTCAAGCTAAAAAAAAAAAAAAAAGGCCAGGCGCGGTGGCTCACGCCTGTAATCCCAGCACTCTGGGAGGCCAAGGCGGGCGGATCACGAGGTCAGGAGCTCGAGACCATCCTGGCTAACACGGTGAAACCCCGTCTCTACTAAAAATACAAAAAATGAGCTGGGCGTGGTGGCGGGCACCTGCAGTCCCAGCTACTCAGGAGGCTGAGGCAGGAGAAGGGTGTGAACCCGGGAGGTAGAGTTTGCAGTGAGCCAAGATCGCAGCCTGGGCAACAGAGCGAGACTCTGTCTCAAAAAAAAAAAAGAGAGAGTGAGTCTTGCTGCATGTCCACTACCTCCATCGAGGTGACACTTAAAACACAAGGACGGGCCGGGAGCGGTGGCTCACGCCTGTAATCCCAGCACTTTGGGAGGCTGAGGCAGGCGGATCACGAGGTCAGGAGATCGAGACCATCCTGGCTAACACGGTGAAACCCTGTCTCTACTAAAAATACAAAAAATTAGCCAGGCGTGGTGGCGGGCACCTGTAGTCCCAGATACTTGGGAGGCGGAGCTTGCAGTGAGCCGAGGTCATGCCACTACACTCCAGCCTGGGTGACAGAGCTAGACCCCATTTCAAAAAATAAAAATAAAAAAACACAAGGACCGCCGCCCTAGCGCGAGATGTCAGTCATGTGAACCAGGCGGGACGGTGACGGGGGCAGGGGTGCTGCAGTTTCCACTCTGTTATTCTGTAAACTTAAAACTGCTCAAACGCGTAAGTCTGGCCGGGCGCACTGGCTCACGCCTGTAATCCCAGCACTTCGCAGGTGGATCTTTTGAGGTCAGGAGTTTGAGACCAGCCTGGCCAACATGGTGAGACTCCCACCTCTACCAAAAACACACACAAAAAATTAGCCGGGCGTGGGGTGGGCACCTGTAATCCCAGTTACCCGGGAGGCTGAGGCAGGAGAATCGCCTGAACCCGGGAGGTGGAGGCTGTAGTGAGCCAAGATTGAACCACTGCACTCCAGCCTGGGTGACAGAGTAAGACTCCATCTCGGGGGGGGAAAAAAAAAAAAAGTAAGTCTATGAACACCAAAAACTCATGAGGTATCAGCAAGCACTCATCAGAATGGCTCCAGCGGAAAAGACATGATACCCAATGCCACTGGGGACGCAGGCCAGCATGTGCGCCACTGACTGCATCCACATGGCAGTTCCAGAGCGGAGCACACACACCCTGGGGCCTGGTCACTCCACACAGGCACGCACCCAGCAGAAACGCACCCCTTGCCAATGCCTGGCCAACTCCTCAGGCCATCACAAGAGCTCCCAATAGGAGACACCATAAATGCCTTGCACGGATGAACTACACACAGGCACACACAGCGGTGCAGCAAATACCAGAGTGCAAGCCAGACACTAGCACTAGACACCTGTATGGCAGGATCCACCTGCCTCAGTTCAAACCAGGCAGCACCACCGTGGCACACTAGGGGTCAGCAGTGTGCCCTGGGGTAGGCCGGCCACGGCCACGGAGTGTGCTCCTTAATTTGGGAGCTAGTCACACGGGTTTGTTCATCATATGAACACACATCAACAGCACATCTGAAGAAGTGTGTACACATTTTTGTATGTCAAACTTCAATAAAATGTTTATTTTATATATATACACACACACACACACTTTTTTTTTTTTGGAGACGTAGTCTCACCCTGTCGCCCAGGCTGGAGTGCAGTGGCGCAATCCTGGCTCACTGCAACCTCCACTCCCTGGGTTCACGCGATTCTCTTGCCTCAGACTCCCGGGTAGCTGGGATTACAGGTACCTGACATCGTGCCCAGCTAATTTTTGTATTTTTAGTAGAGATGGGGTTTTACCATCTTGGCCACGCTGGTCTTGAACTCCTGACCTCTTGATCCACCCACCTCAGCCTCCCAAAGTGCTGGGATTACAGGCGTGAGCCAACGTGCCTGGCCATCTGTGTGTGTGTGTGTGTGTGTGTGTGTGTGTATATATATATGTACCAAAACTACTAAAACAAGCAAAAAAACCAACATTAAACCAAAGTTTTTCAATGACAAGGCTGCCAAACACTAAACACACATCCCCAAATCACCGGCTGGCCTCTCCCTGCGCCCCAGTCCAAGAAGGCTGCCGTGGAGGAGACGCTGCGGCCAGGTCAGAGCAACTGGGCCTCCCACTCGGCAGCCCTCAGGACTCGGAGGGACGTCTCTCGTCCTTCACTTCCTGACAGGTCTGTGCAGATGCCTGGCTAATCAGCACATGCTCTGGCAGGGGCCTAGTGTCCACCACATGGCAGGTGGTCCAAGGCTGGAGACAGCTGGATCTTCTAGGCCCTAAGATGTATTTTCACAGGTGTCTGAACCAGAGCCCCTTCCACGGTGGCACTTCACTGACAGGCGTCAAAGATGACAGCATTTGGGACCGGGCGTGGTGGTTCACGCCTGTAATCCCAGCACTTTGGGAGGCCGAGGTGGGTGGATCACCTGAGATCAGGAGTTCAAGACCAGCCCAACTAACATGGTGAAACCCTGTCTCTACTAAAAAAAAAAAAAAAAAAAAAAAAAAAAAAAAAAAAAAAATTTGCTGGCGTGGTGGCACATGCCTATAATCCCAGCTACTTGGGAGGCTGAGGCAGGAGAATCACTTGAACCCAGGAGGCGGAGGTTGCGGTGAGCTGAGATTGCATCAATGCACTCCAGCCTAGGTGACAGAGCAAGACCCCACCTTGAAAACACAAAAAAACAAAGATGACAGCCTTTGACTTGCAGGAGGAGGACCAGTCACCACTCCACATCCCAGAATGCAGTTCTGCTGCCAGGCAAGTTACAGTGGACACTGGGACATGTAGTTGTTCCAGAAACACCCAGATGTGGCTGGCAGAAAGCTGGGATTCTCCATGTCCAGACCAGATGCTGCCCCGGGGGCTCTGGAGGCAGGCAGCCCTGTCTTCCCCCCACAGGCTCACCAACCATATCAGGCAAACAACTCAGACACGAGAGCCTGGAGGGTTCTACAGAAGGGTTTGAAAATTCCTTGATCGGC